TTTACGGGGAACGAGGGAATTTTTTTCAATTTTTAAGGGTAATGTCTTCGACTAGATACGATTTGTGATCTTTTGACGTATCATTGAAAGAAATCGGTTCGGTGAGAGCTGAGAAAAAGTGGTAACAGACACAAAAAAAAAAAAAAAAAATTAAACACATCTTAGTAAAACCAATACCTTCTCAGCTTCGCATCGAAGCTAAAATATGAGTATTGATATTAATTCGAAGACATTGTTTTTATCATTGTTTGACTAAAAATCAAACCAATAAATATAGTTTAAAAAAACTAAAAAACACGCTTTTAAAGCACATCGAACTAAAAAGTTAAAAATAATTTTTTAAATTTATTTAAAACAATAATGAACGAAAAGTACTAGTATTATTGTGAAAAAAATCGTCGGGCGCTCAATATACAAAAAATATGGCACAAAGCACCCACGCTTTTTTTCACAATAATACTAATATCTTTCGTTCATTATAGTTTTAAGTTAATTTTAAAAATTATTTTTAACTTTCTAGTTCGATGTGCTTTAAAAGCGTGTTTTTTAGTTTTTTTAAACTATATTTATTTTTCACTTTTTAGTTTCATGTTATTATACTGCCGTGCTAAGCGAAAATATAGGATAACTCCAGTCAATATGATTTTTCAGGAACACAAAAAAACATTTTTAACAGTAAATCAAGATACCATTTTTTCCCAATGTATGAACATAAGTCAAAAGATGGTAACTCCATTATTTTTTATGTGATATACCAAGTTTTTGCTTAGTATTTGGATTTACCGCGTTTTCGCTACAAAACATCAAATATATTGAACTTGCCGTATATTTTCTTATTTTATATTTCAATTTTAGATGGGTTTTAATAGGAAATATGCTACTTTTACATCAAAAATCGGTGTAAAACCACTAAATTTACCTATAAAAACAAAAAAAAAATTTTTTTTAATTTTGGAGTTATCCTGTTTTTGCTTAGCACGGTAGTACAGTAGTTATTATCAATATCATGGTTGTAAAGGGAAATCAGGGTTCGATTCCGGAGTGGGAGTCTAAGAAACGGCTACCACATCCAAGGAAAGCAGCAGGCGTGTAAATTACCCACTACCGGAACATAGTGGTAGTGACCAAAAATGACGATACCTTTGTAATCGGAACGAATACACTATATCTCTTAATGAGAATAAAGCGTATTAATATATAAGTTTTAATAATAATTAGANATGACGATACCTTTGTAATCGGAACGAATACACTATATCTCTTAATGAGAATAAAGCGTATTAATATATAAGTTTTAATAATAGTTAGAATATATATATATGTAAAGCGATTTAAGTACGTAAACGTATCATGCACGAGGCATATATAAATAGGAATATATAAATGAATATTAACATATACGTATATATATATATATTAATATTAGCGGTGGCGGTAGGAATATATTATCTTCGCATAATATCGCGACACTTTCGCTANCGCATAATATCGCGGCACTTTTGCTGGCGTCGACGACGCGATGTCCGGCGTGATCCTCGGGCGTCAAAAGGTTAGCAGCGTAGATGACAACAGTGCGCGAGTGCGGATCGGTTTGTTGACATTGTAACTTTGACAACGGGAAGAAGACAACGGTATTAGTGATGGGTCGTTCACGAACGAACGGGTCTTTTTGAACGGGTCATATCAGTGAACGAGTTGATCCGGATCGCAAAAAAAATAGATATCGTTCATTCGTTCATACGTTCATTCGTTTCACGCAATATATCGGACACACTGTTTCATGATTCGTTCATTTACTGAACGTTTACCTGCACTTCGGTTAAAACCTATGCCTAACCTTATATTCTTATAATATAAAAATTTAAAAAAAAAACGAATATATTCTTTATAAGTATATACTTATAATGTTTTTTTAAAAAATTAAATAAAAAAATACTTATTGCCAATGAGAGTTTAAAAGCAACACTATTTGGTTTGTGATAAAAACATTTTTATTGCAGGTCTGCAGACTAAATTTTCAAAGTTGTGACATGTTTCTACTAACATAATCATGCAGGTTTAATACAGTTAGATTATTTCAAGTATCCTACTATATTGTTCATTTGAAGAACAATTTTGATTATCAATATATAGCTATTTATTTCATAAATATTACATTCATATAATTATTTATAAGCGAAAATAGGTCTATGAATTATTGAATTTAGCAACTAGGACAAAAATTGACTATTAGACTAATATAATTGTTGTGAGAGGTATTAAACCACCTCACTCTTTTATAATCTGGTCATAGCTGCTGTAAATTGTAATATCTGATTTAGGTGAATTAATTTCTCTATAAAACTCCTTTTATGAAAACAAATAATTTAAATGATTTCGCTTATTATAGAAACAAATTCTATGGATTTATGTACCGCAACTCATCCGCTAGTATAAATTATTTGTTTTTATTCTATACAAAAATATTCGTGTATAACAGCATATTATGTTATTTCAAGTAATTTGTATTTGAAAAAATAATATATAACCCGATTATACAAGTGTATTATCAGTAAAAATTCTGATATCATGGTAATGTTACATGGTGAAAATGCGAATTTGAACGACTCGTTCAGGAAAACCATAGTAAGGAGTAATTGATAAGAACCGTGACCGATCGTAAGAAATGAACGAAAGAACGAGTTATAATTCCCATCACTATACGGTATCATTAGCGCCGGAACGTCGTCGGCCGTGCGGCACTTTGCACCGCGGCGTATAACGCGCGGTGTTGGTCAGTCAAATACTCATAAAATAGGGCGACGGCTGATAAAGGTGGCACGAGTCGTGGGGCATCGTGTATAACGAAACGACGCGGGGCCGTGTCAATCACAATAAAAATTTGTTATATATATATATATAACTGATGACACGCACTCGTATACGGGTACGAAAACCAAAATTAATTACGACCGTCTAGTTTCAAGGCCGTAGGACACGTGCGCGTGGAAAGTTACAAACAACTCACAACACACAACATACATGTGAAACTAATATAAGCGTGTTAATTAAAAATTAATACTTTTAACATTAAATATTAACCTAAAAATTTATCATTTTTTTATCACTAAATTGTAATTTGGATAAAATATATAATAGTGTTTGATTACGGATTATTTTACAGCTAACTTCTAGAGTCACATACAGTCAGGGGCGGACTTAGGTATGTGGTGGCCCTTGGGCGGAATGCTTTGTGGAGGCCCCTTATACAAAAACAAGGAAATATATTTTTTTACTTATTAAATAACAATTATTATCATATTTGTGATACCAATGTATACTAAATTTTTGGGGGCCCCTGGGCTGCAGCCCTCCCCTAAATCCAGCCCTGCATACAGTACTATCTGGGATTTTCAACTTTTTTATAATTTAATTAACCTAATTAAATTATAAAAAGGTTAACCTAACCATATAAGCCTGCCATCATATGGCAATATTGAAATTTTTTTAAAAATTGAATCTAGCCACTAACGTGTAAAAATTTGACTATTCATTTTTTCGGCGCTATCCTCAAAAACCTGAATTTCATGAAAAAGTTGCTTACTTAATGTATTTTTGAATGACATAAGCTTCATATAAAATGTAATGTACGTTGATATAGATCATGGCGGATTTTGGTTAACTGGAGAAAACTAATTAAATTAACAACTAAAAAATTACAATTTTTTTAATTAGTATTGGGGTAGATATAAAATCTTTGATTGAATGACATTTTATATTCTTATTTATACGAATATGTAATTTTTTTAGAATAAATATTTTTTAAATATAATTTTGCTGTAGTTAAATATTATGAATAGAAAGCAAAATTATATGCATTGTAAAGTTATTCCAAAAAGACATCAGCAGGCAGAACAATTGTGTATTAATAAAATTGAAATAATTAGTAGTGTAATTTAAATGGGGTTAGTGTTGAGCGGGATTATTATTCCCCCTAAATCGAAAAATATTTTTACGCTACTGTCTAATCCAATAACAATTTTGCACAAACTTATGTTCTTTTAAAAAGGTCTAAAAGAAATGTATAAATCTCCTTTCTATTTATGAATTAAATAATAATATTTAGCTTATTAAATTCATTATGATTCATGTAATAAGTTTTTTAATAGATTTTGTTAAAATAAATAATGATTTAAAGTGGTTAATATAAAATATTTATTTAATTTTTTTCATCAATTAAAAATCAATAATAAAAAACAATCAGGATAATTGATATGAAACCAGATAAATAAATAAGATACTAAAAATATATATATATATATGAAAACAAATTATAATGCATTTTTTTATGGTGAAATATACATAAATGATACAAAACAATAGTTTTAAATTGATAACCTTTTTCTCATTATTAATTATTAAAATTAGTTCAATATGAGTAAAATTCAATCAGTAATGATAAACTGTGTACTGTTGTTATACATTTTTTATTACTATTGTTATTTTACATTTTATTTCACTGAAATATAATTTAGTTCTATTATATATATAATTTCAATCATCATTCATACCTGTTAGTTAAATTAGCATATTGTTTAATTAACACTTATCCACAAAATAGTAATAGTAATTATAATAATAATAAAAATAATAGTAATAATAATAATAATAATAATAATAATAATCAATGATACTTATATTTCAATAAAACTAACAGTTTCATAAAAAAATGAATAATTAATTGAACTAAAGTAGTTAAATCAACCGTGTGTTGTATCATCTTCAACAAAATCATATGCTACATCTCGTGTAACACATTCTACATGACTAACCTATAAGTTAAAAAATTAAGTTTTAAACTTTCCTGGATCCCAAGATTTATTTAAGTCTAAAATTGTAGTAGAATTACCTTATTACGGAACTTAACACCATAAAACTTGTGAGCATGGAATAATAATTCAGGTCTAAAAGTTGTTGTAATAAACTGAGCATGATCAGACATTTCATGTATCATATCAGCAACAGCTTTCCTATGTTGTGGATCTAAAGCCTATAAATAAATGTAATTTTAATAATAAGGAAATTTGTAAAAATCTGACAAATATAAAAAAAAGATACAATTAATAATTTTGAATATATTTTGCAAAATTATTTATTAATTAGGAGTAGAAATATGTTAATCATATTTTTAGGTTTTTAAACATAAAAATAGTAGAATTTTCTTCTTTGACAGTTAAAATTTAAAATAAAAAAAAAATGATGTTTTCCAAAAAATTTTTTTTTACTATATTATAATAAAATCAGTATTGTGCAAATTTTCATCCATATAATTAATTGAATAAAAAATTATTCAAATTCTTTTGTAACATAATTATTGGAATAAAAATGTACTTGAAGAGTTTTGAAACATTATTATTCAAATTATAATAATAAAAACTAATAATAATAATAATCACATTTTATACAGTTTTATTTTAATTATAGTACATTTTATTCTAATAAATCTTTCAAAATTATTCTTATGAATTTTTACATAAATAATGATAATAAAAAATTATTTGAATAATAATGTATTTAAATAATTGCAAAAAAATTATCCAAATAATTTCTTATTTAGATGATTATTTGAAAAAAATTTTTGTTCGAATCATGCCATACTCTAAATTATATTTTAAATTCAAGAAAAACTAATATTATTTTACTTGATCAATTTCATCAAATAAATAGAATGGTGCTGGATCACATTTCTGGATTGCAAAAATTAATCCTAATGCTACTAATGATTTCTGACCTCCTGATAATTGATTCATTTCACGCATTTCTGCTCCTTGTCCAGCAAAAGATACTTTAATCATAACACCAGAATAGTTGTCAATGTTGTCTTCCTAAATATTTATATACAATTTATATATTTTATTTAATAAAACATACATTAGAAAAATTATAATATGAAAAAAATAATGTACAGAAGACATTCATAGTTCACAGACATTATCATAGTTAATACTTAATATGTTTGTATTAATTTCTAATATAAATATTAATGCTGGCTTCAGATTGACCATGCAATGGCACAATGTATTATTTATATGTAAGAAATTAAAAAATTTAGAAATGTTACAAAAATATTTTTTTAATCAAAGTTCTTTATGATAATGATGCTAACTACTGTCAAACTTCAAACTATATTTTTTTATATGAATTTCAAAATAACAATATTGCTATCAAAGTTGATAATAATAATATTATTAATTAAATACAGTTTTAATTACTATAAATTACCAAGTACATACCTCTCCAACACATGGTGTAGCAGATTCTTCTCCACCAGCTGATTTCATGACTAATTGTGCATATCCACCAGGGACAAGTTTACTAAAAACTTGAGTAAAGTACATTGAAACTTGTTTAAATGTAAAAAGAATTGCATCACACTTTCTCTGCTCCAACACATTCATTAGTTCTTCAATTTTTTGACGGCTTAAATAAATTTTTCAAATAAATAATGATATATATATATATATGGGAGCATTAAGAACCTTTAAATATCTTAAAAATTGATTTTTTTTATCACTTGTTTAATAATAATCAAAATAAAAAATTAGTCTTACCATGAGAATTTCTGTAAAATTCTCATACTAAAAATATGATCACTCGATATAAATTTGTTAATTATCAAAAAATTAATAATAATCATTACTATTATTTAAAAACGGATGAGATCCTTTTTTGTATCTTCCATTGATCCCTCTATAAGATTTTGCATTATATTATTTTACATTACGTACTATTTATTATTATTATTGTTATATTTTTAATATATTTGTTATATAAATCTTATATATTAGTAGAGTTTGATCCAGAAATATTCTGAGTATACAATATATTCCAATAGTTTCTGACATCTTTAATAACCTTTGAACCAGCAAATATTTTCCATTACTTTTTTTAAAAATAATTTTTACGACTTTGAACTATGTTAAAATTAAATGTTAAAAATTATTTATAAATAAAAGAAAAAATTATTTTTTATTTTTTCCAAATTATAAAATAGCAATATTTAAGTCTTTTTTACAAAAAAATTTAATGGTTACAATTTTATGGTAAGAATTTATTGAACTACATATATTTTAATACATAAGTGGGTATGTAGTATGGGCATAGTGCAAATAAATCAGTACAAATTCTACATACCCACTTTTTCTTATTAGACACAAATAATAAAAAATGCCCTTTAAACATTGTCCAAAATTGTAAAAATCATTAAGAAAACTGTAACACAAAATATTCAATGAATCATAAATTAATAAAGATGTCAGAATCTGATAGGATAAATGAATATATATATTTTTATTTACCCTCTATCAAGTTCTTGTTTTCTAGAGACTAATTTTTCTTTCTGCTCAGAAAAGCTTACAAACTGATCTAAAGCTTTTTTGTTAACATGACCAAAACGTTTTATATTACTATTCACCTTTTCTAATTCCTTAAAAAGCTGTAAAAACAAAGAAAAATGAGTTTTTGAAAAGTTAAAGATTACATAAATAACACGAGTTAATATAAATTTAAATTATACTACCATCATTACAACTTTTGTCATGTATTTAAATATTTATATAAAAAAAAAATCATCATATGGCATAAGTATGATCATAAATTTAGAAAGACTATACGAGGTGTGTTCAAAAAGTAAGGTGACTTGATATTTTTATGAAAAACTATTTATTTATTCATCAATGTTTATGTTGTCCCCTTCAAAGTAATCCCTCTCAGATGTAATACACTTGTGCTAACGCTTTTTCCAATCTTCGAAACACTTCTGATAAGCACTTTTTGGTATAGCCTTGAGCTCTTTCAGCGATGCAGTTTTTATCTCCCCAATCGTTGCAAATCTTCGTCCTTTCATAAGGTTTTTCAGTTTTGGGAACAGAAAAAAGTCGCATGGGGCTAAATCCGGTGAATATGGTGGCTGAGGCATGATTGTGGTGTTGTTTTTGGCCAAAAAATCTCTCACAAGCAACGATGAGTGAGCAGGTGCATTATCATGATGCAAAAGCCATGAATTGTTTTTCCATAATTCCGGACGTTTTCTTCATATTGCTTCTCGCAAATGACGCATAACTTCAAGATAATACTCCTTATTGACCGTACGACCTTGTGGTAAGAACTCCTGATGCACTACGCCACGACAATCGAAGAAAACGGTGAGCAAAACCTTGACATTTGATCGAACTTGGCGTGCTTTTTTCGGTCTTGGCTCTCCTGAGCTCTTCCATTGGGACGATTGAACTTTGGTTTCGATGTCATAACCATATACCCATGATTCGTCACCAGTTATGACCCTTTTGAGCAAATCAGGATCATCATTGACGTCATTCAACAGCTCCAGAGCGATGCTCATGCGACGATTCTTCTGGTCAAAATTAAGCAGTTTCGGAACAATCTTCGCTGACACACGTCTTATGCCCAAAATATCCGAAAAAACTTCATGGCACGAGCCAACCGATATGCCAACATCCTCAGCAACTTCTCTGATAGTGATTCGTCGATTTTCCAAAACAATTTTCTTCATTGCTTCAACGTTTTCATCTGTTGTTGACGTGCTGGGACGTCCAGAGCGAGGTTCGTCATTGGCATCTTCTCGGCCATCTTGGAAAAGCTTGTACCACTTATAAATGTTATTTTTACTCAGAGCGGACTCACCGTATGTTACTGTCAACATTTCAAGTCTATTAGAACACTTAATTCCATTTTTGACACAAAATTTGATGCAAATTCTTTGATCCATTTTTTTTTTGATAGCAGAAAATCGCCGAGCACACCAAAATACGTCTAATCTTTGTATCTGTCAAAAACAAACTAAATATGCTATATACTTGAAACTGTGTACAGATGTTCGGTACGAGTGTACCAACATGACATAAAAAAAAATCTAAGATCGAACGGACGTAGCCCGCGAAATTTGAAAAGTCACCTTACTTTTTGAACACACCTCGTACATTGAAATAAAAATTACCATATCCCAAAACTTATAACTTCACATAATATTTATATAATTAAACTAAATAAAAATATAAATTTAATAATTTATTTAAATAATTTATAATAGTTTAATATAGTACCTCATGAAAAGTGATAACTTTGTCTAAATACTAGACTATTTTCCATTATTATATCAGTTTTAATGTAATAGTTGCAATTAATACAAAATTAAGTTTATATTAACAATAATAAATTATATTAATTACATTTTTAGATGAATATGATAAATATTTGGTCATTAATTCTGTATTAGGAAGAGCTCCAAGATCACTAATTTTTGCTTGACATTCATCCAATTTTTGTTTCAACATATTTTGTTTGGTTGATACTTTAGTCAGATCTTTTGATTCACTGTCAAGTTTTTCTTGAGCATCTTTTTCTAAAGATTTCCATTTTTCTAATTCATCTTGACAAATCTTTAGCTAAACATAATTAATTTTTTTTATAAATTTAAATCATTTATAGAATATAAATTTAAATAATAATAAAATATATTAAAAAAAAAAAATTAATTATTAATTTTAAAGATATTTTTTGTATACTTCATTATTAACTTACTTTTTTAACAGCTTCTTGAACTCTTTTATCATCAATTTTAATATCGGCATTAAGCACTTCAAGCTTTTTCATAACAGATTCAAGTTCTAATCTACTATTTTCTAATGTTCTTTTTCGTTCTTCAACAGATATTTCTTGAAGAGCCTGAAATATTTGTTAGTTTACTCATATTAATTAATTACTAAAAAAATTTAAACAAGTAAATTGCAAAACATACTTGCATAAGTTCATCCCGACGTCTCATTAAATTATTTGTCAATAAATTCTCTAATTTGTTTTTATCGGCTTCGAATTTCATACGCATTGCAAAAGCACTTTTATTTTCTTGAGTTAGGGACTTTATATCATCATTTAACTTATCCATTTCTCTTTGATCATTAACAGAAAGTTGTGCCATAAGTTCCTAAACATAAAAATAATTTTATTAAATAAAACTATTTTTATTTTTTTGCAAGGAAGAACTTATTTAAAATATAACAATTATTTTATAACTTAACTTCAAACCATATTATATATGAAGCACTTAGAAACAATTGAAATAAGTGACAGTTTTTTAATATTGAATTAATTGTAAAATCAGACAGAAAATGAATAATTCTATCAAATAATTAATAATGTTATGAAAATTTTATTATTTTTTTTTTTTACATTGCATTATAAAATATAAAATTTTAACTGAATTTTCTTATAAATTAAAAATATATATTTATAACTGTAATGGAACCTAACACAATCAATATCAAAATGATGTAAAAGTAAAGATTAAAGTCTGAGAATAATTTTTAACTAGATTCTTTAAATATGCTATGATGGGAATTACTAGACAATCATTTATTTCTTAAAACTTTCTGTTAACACATATTGGGTGCCAGTTGACACTGTTATAAGAGATTGATGGCCGTCAGTCATCATAAGTGTACCGGAAGGAAATCATGTGAAAAATGAGGCATAATACAGAATTAGTACCCGCAACTTAAAATATTGTAGAGACCAACTTTACTACTATACCACTGTGCATTTATAATTCAAATAAATTCTAATATATTTCCATATAAATTGAAGTGATATCGAACTGAGGGAAACTTTCCCTGTGGATAGGGGTTAAGAATACTTCCACGGCCCCTCTGCCAGTCATAAGAGGGGACTAATAAGGTTGTGTCAGGTCAACAGCCGGTATATTTTTTTTTTATATATTAAAATATAATCTGGCTATATGATAATTTTCAAGAATTATTAAACTTTAAGTAATTTTAAAGTAAAAAGCTCTGGATAAAATATTCAAAAAAATAAAATACTTGATGAAGTTCTGACTCCAATCCACTTTTAGTTGTTTGCATAGCTTCTAAATTTGATGATGCTTGTGCTAATAACCTTTCTTTGGTCCCCCGATATCTTTCTATTCCAATAAGTTCTTCTTTCATAAGTCTTATATCTCCTTTCAATTTGTCAAAATTACCTCTTTAATATCAAACAAATTTTTTATTTTTAATTAAATACTATGCCTTATATAAGTAATTTGTAAAAAAATATCTCTTGATGATATTTATACATAGTATACAGAGAATGAACCAGGGTCAGCCTGGCTTAGAGGGTAGTAACATATGTTTTGGTGCACGGGTTCCCAGGATGCCAACGAGATTTTTCTTGCGATTTACTCATTGATGGTGACTAGGATCTAGTACAAGCCGCTAGTAATACCCGTCCCGTTCATTATTGGCCTAGCCAAAACCATCTTTGACTCTCTAACATGTGATAGAGGATCATCAACTATAGCATGATCTAACTGACAACTCTTATAACTTTTGATTAAATAATCATTTTGTTGAAATTTTTTTTTTAATAATTATTGCCTTCCTAGTTTATGTTTAAAGGATTTTATTTTTTTCTAATTTATGACTAGTAAGAAAATAATTTTTTTAGAAATTTCAAAAAAACAATTTTTAGCCCTTTTCTTACAGATTATTTTGATGAGTAGATAACAATATTAAGAAAAGTACTTACTAACTTACAAGCATAGAGTGAGTATGTAGTGTAGGTGGAGTATGCATTATAACTATTCATCAGTACAAGCTGTACCCACTAAATATTTACTTATTGTATTTAAATGCTTGTAACCCAACAAGTACTTGTCTTAAAATTATTATCAACTGATCAAAATTTTTTATAAGATAAGTGCTAAAAAATAGCTATTTTAAAATACTGAAAATACTGAAAAAAATGAAAAAATATTTTTTTATTATTATTATTATTAAAATTAAATAATGAAAAATATACTTTAAATAGTCTTAAATGGCAATAATTATTTTTAAAATATGTCAACAAAATGATTACTGATCAAAAGTTGTCAGTTAGATGTGGTTCATTCTATATATAAAAATCTTAATTCCTTTACTTATTTAACTTTTATTTTTAATGAACTCCTTTAAGTATTTATATTTCAAAGGTAAACAACATTCATACTTTGATTTACTATTTTTTGTTTCAGTTTTTTGCATATCTGACATAACAACATTTACATTAACTTCAACTTCATTTAGTTGATTTTTTAACAATGCAAGTTCATCTTCTGCATCTTTAATTTGATCCATCAAATCATTACGCTGTTTTTGAATTTCCAATTTAGATCGAACATTTTTAAAGTAACCTCCAGTCAGTGTTCCACTTGAAGAAACCTAAATAATAACATTTAAATAATACTAATACTTAATCAAAATTAGTTATTTTACTTTAATAGATAAAACATACTTGATCGCCATCAATCGTGATACAATCGAGCATACTTTGTTTAGATATTGTAGTAGCAATCTCAAGATTACGACAAATTAGTGTTTTGCCAAATATAAAACGCATGGCTTTATCCAAATGTGGCTCATATTTTAACTTACTAACCATTGGAATAGCATCCTAAATAATTAAGTTTTTAATAATTAAATAAGTAATATTACAAGATGTTTATTGATCATAAATAATAAAATATATTTAGATAAATTATTTAAATTTTTTAGAACTAAGAGATGAAAAAATACAATTTTTCTGTTTTCATCTAATAAAATTTATCTTAAATTGAATATATAAAAATACTCATATGTTTGAATTTTTTGGTTATAAGGGTACTTATTATTAATAACAATATTGTAAGATCTACAATGAAGGCAATAATTTCTTATGAGGGTGTTTGAGATTTTATTTTTCTGTATCAAAACATATTTCAGGAGAATTATGTTTACACCTCTGTAGTGAGATGACTGATACATACATCTCTAATTAAAGTTGATAACATTATCTACACTTCTAAATGGCTAATTTTTTATTAGCCTTTATTTTATTTAGGCCTAAAATTATAGATCTATTAAAAAATGTAAAATATTTTTTCTTTCAAATGCTTATTATTATTATTTTTTTATTAATCATTTTATCAAAAATCATCATGTAGAGATATTAATGTCAACAGCTTTAATAAATAAAATAGTTCTTAAATTTAACAAATAAATAAATAATGGAATCATGCAACATTTTTTAATAATAAAGTTTTTTATAACCTACAAAGAAATAAACATTATTATTTGAACTATTATAAACACAATCCCTTCATTTAAAAGGACATTTTATATTAATTAAAAAAATAAAAAATATTAAGAGTTGGAATGATTATTAAATTTGAACATTGTTTAAGTATAAAGTAATAGTATAAATAAATTACACATCATTAATTTATGAAATATAGTAACACACATATTTACATTAGATTAAATTTAACTGACTACTTAAATTTATGAATGAATATTTTGCCAAGGATTTTATAAATGTATCTACCAATAACCAATTGGAATTCAGATATTGATCACTGACTAAATTCTAATCTAAAATTTTGATGAAATTATTTTTAATATTGATGTATTTCAATCTACTATGTATTCTTGGTTCATTTATTATTTTTATACAAGATTAATTATCTTCATGCATAACTGTTGGATGTAATTTAATTTTTAATTCTTCCATAAATCCTTGTATCCACAAACATTCAGTAAGTGCAGAAGCAAATGCACTGTATTCGGCCTCAGTTCTTGACAAAGCAAGAGTTACCTGTTTTCTGTTACTTCAACTAAATGTTTATCCATAAACTTTAAACAAGTAACCTGTTATTAATTTATTATCAAATAAATTACCGGCTAAATTAGAATCACTTAACTTATAAGTGACTCAGAAATTTCTTGAGTAAAGGTTAGACCAATATCTTTAGTTTCATGTAAATATCTTAAGATTTTTTTAAATGTAACCAGTGACAATTTGTAGCAATAGCCTGAGATCTATTCACATAGTTAACTGAAAAATATGAATAACGGCTCTTCTTTTTTTTAATACATCAAATAACAAAGTGATTTTGTCAACCGATAAAGTTTCTATAGCTGTTCCTACCATGTAAAAATATTCTGGAAGTAACAGTAGCAGCAAACATGCTTTAAAATCTTCATCCAACTTACCACCAGCTAATTTTATGTGTAATTCTATTAGTTCACCTCCCATTTATTTCAAAATAACTAATTTTTTAAATAAGTACAGCCTGTTTGAAGAACATTTTGTTTCAAATATGTTACATAGTTAATATTAAATTTCTGCAGCACTATTTCCATGAACATACTCGTAGTATGTCAGCTGTATACTGAATTATTAAATCCATAGCTTTCACATCTTTACTATCAAATACAGCTTATTTAGTTTCATAAAAAGTAGCTGTTTTTCTGTTAGATCATCCAACACACTATGTGACCTTAACAAAGATTGGATATCGAATTGCTAAGTTACAAAATTAGTTCCGTCATATAAAATAATATTATATTTTTCATCCTTCTTTGACATAATTAATTACTTGGGCCCAATATAAAATAAAACATCACTTTAATTTACAAATAAATAATAAACTAAAACATGGAATCACATAATGTTTTTTAGTAATTTTTTATAACCTACAAAGAAATAAACATCTTTATTTGAATTATACTCATAATAGATAACTATTGTCCACATTAATTGGATGTATCAATCACCTCTTTGCAGATATGTAAACATTTACTTTCTTGAGACATTTTCTAATATTTTATCAATTGTTTAAGTCGTAATGTGGCCATCCCAAAGACAGACTGGCCAACTATACTACTGTGTTGTAGCACAGAGGGTTAGTTCCTCAAAAAACTGACAGATATCTAAGTACTGAATAAGTAACTGTAGTCGAGTTATTTAATTCTTGTCACTTTATTATAATTTTTATATTTAAACTTTTTTTTTTAAGAATTAATTTTACTGATTTATAATTTATTAAATTTATGTAATAGAAAATAATTATTTTGCTTTTAAACAACAATTTCATTACTTGGTTATTCTCTTAAGATAACAAAAACTTTTAACCCTACCAGAATTTCTTTCTAAAAACTATAATTTTTTCAGTATTATTAAAAAAAAATAAAAGAAATAACTTACTCTTGATTGTGGATATCTGATATCTCGAACTGTTAATCTATTTAATGGCATAAAAGTTACCTCCCCAGGTAAATTTTGATTATTAATTTCCTTCAGGATTTGAGTACCAATTCTGTCTGATTCAACAATATGGAAAAATATCCTGAACAATTAGATAAAATTATAATTCAATGTTTTACATTAAAAGATAAAAAAGGTTTGCAATATATATATATATATTTTTGATGTTATTCTTGTAACATACATAATCTATCAGTATTCACTTATTTTATTTCACAGAGGTTTCAATTATATTCTGAGAATAATAATTATATTAACACAATGATTATAGTTTGTTAAATTTTGTAAAAATTACCTTCCACCTGCTGTAACTTCAACTGCTGTTTGAATACTCTGATCACATTCGAAATTTTCAATAACTTGACCATAATATTGAGAAGCAAGATCAAGATGTGCTCCACCCCTTTGTTTAAATACTTCTAAAACTTTTCTAACACTATCTCTTCCATTTAAAATAGCCTACAGTTTTTTTAAAAATAAAAAATATAGTTAGATTAAATAATAGTTATTTTCTCATAATATTACTTTTCCTGCCATACTACGTAATGCTTGATCAGATTTTGCTAATTCTTCTTTGAGAGATGATAAACTGTGCTGTACTGTATTTTCTTTGCGCCATAATTCACTAAGATTATATTACATATTTAAAAGAAATATTTATCATTTAAGACTAATATCATCTAATTTAAACATACTTTCTTTGACTCTGATATTGATCTTTAGATTTTTTCAATTCATAATAACGTTTATTATATTCATCAATTGCAACTCTTTGTTTTTCTAATTCTACTGAACTAGTCTAAAAACAATGAAAGATTGATTATTATCTTTATTTATTAATAATCCTGAAGAGAATCTGCAAGGATCACAAAATTAACAAAACTTCGGAACCTGGTTAAACTCAGTAAGGGTGGCATTTGGTTTGGTTAGTTGAGACTGGTAGGTCTGGGAATAACTTGCTTGCTAATAGCAAATAGGTCCCTTAACTCAGCCATACCAAGTGAAAAGGTACTTAACTTATCACAGAATAGTTAGCCAAAAGGTAAAGTGACCATTGGGACCTGCCACACCATAGAGTATAATGCTTTATCGAGCTCTGCTGCGATTGACCCCTATATTTTTATTCATTGGAACTATATCGATAAAAAAAAAAACTACAATTAATGATTTTAGGACAAACAGGGATCTTATAGACAAACTATCAGAACAATAATGTAAACTGATGTCTTTTCGTAGAAGAATCACTGAAATTAAAAACCATTATGAAAACAATGGTACATTTATTGAACTACTACTACTACTAGTAACTACTAGCAGAGAGATGATATTAGTAGACACAAACCAGGATTCACAAGACCAACTGGGCGCAGTTGCAGAAAGGATCAAAGGTCTCAAACTTAAGTCTAAAAAACTTAATGGTAAAATGAGGCTTAAGCTGAAGAGGAACAACGCAAACACAGAAGGATCAACTGAAGGGTAAAAATAAGGAAGCCAATGAATTGAAAAAGTTGGTGGTTACTGAAAATCCCATACCGAAAATCAATGGCCCTGATACTCAGGTGAGGAAGATCTGTTGGGTACTAACCTATAAGTGGTAATTGACGGTAAGATGGTAACTCTGGTTCTCACGGGTTACCCCACAAATAAGTTGACCATTTAACAAGGACAACTCATTGAATTTTGTGTTGGACACTTGATACTATCTGATATTGATGGAACCAATGTACGAAGGTTTAAAAACATTAGACTCATTGATGGAGCAATTATGATTAATACAGCCCAAGAGAATTTCTTAATTGGTTCACTGAAAATGTCAACAAAATAAAACCTTGGGATGGTGCTGAGATCAAAATGGTAGCTTACAATCCCCCGACAAATACAAACAGATGGTCAATTACATACCAGGACTGTTAAGTGAAAATCTTAAGAAATACAGAATCTTGGACTGAACAGTCTTCTGAAAAATCTACCACGAGAGAGAAGTTGGCCTTAAAGTATAAATTCTATTTTTAAATGAGTATATAAAGAGCATGGTCACATTGGATGAACTTAAACGTAGTCCATATTTTAGAATGGGGATACTATGTTTTGCGGACCATGTTACTGACAAACTCAGAAAGAAGGGAAGAAATCAATTCCCCAAAAATTTGGGAGGAAAAAAGGTGAAAAATCTCCCGCACCATTAGTTAAAGGAGGCAAGGCACAGGTGAAAATAAAAGGCCTCACTATACTTTTACTCAAAAATGAAGGAGAAAGTAAGCCACATAAAGGAAATGATCCAGGGAAACTGTCCTATTTAATAAAAGCCAGTAGTAAAGTACAGTACACACCTAAGGAACAGTTACCACCGGGAAACAATCCACAGGAGATTTGGGTGACACAGGGACTGTAATAGAAAAAGTATCCCGCCCAAAATGGCGTTTTTTTAAATGTTAACAACAGTTTTTTTGAATGTATGACAATATAATACAATTATGCAGATAAATTTTCATCACAGTAAAGGGTACAGTAGTATATAGTTAAGGATCCTAACTAGGAGACATACAACACTCTTACAAATAGCACTTTAACAGTTATTGTGGTTAATTAGTAATCAAAGGGACTAAACTAAAAGAGCTTTAATCTGTTTTATAAAGTCAGTAAACCAAGGGATCCTAATTTTGGTAGATGATAAAATAAAAATATTGTCACTTAATTTGTCATTGCAGGCTTAACAACTATTATGGTAACATTAAGTAATGTAAAAAATATTATAATAGCCTCAGGGCCTAATAGCGCTACTTAATTGTTGTCCAAATGAAAAATTAGAACTCATCCTAGGTACAGTGGCAAGTTTTCATTATACCATATGGGAGAGCATCACATCAACCAAAGAGGTAAGGTATTAATGGATCTATTTCTGACTACAGACCTAAATATACTGAATAGAGGTAACAATCCTACTTTTATAATCAGGAAAAGACAAGAAATCATTGATAATGACTGAAATATATAATAAAGAATATCTAAGTGTAGCACAGGATGACCCATGCCAAATGACAGCTAACAAAGAAAATAATAACTCCAAGTGGCACAAGATTGGCAATAAATGTTTTAGGGCTGCAGGCTATGACATAATATTTTCTGCACTTTTACAAAAGAGACTAGATTTAACCATTCCCACATTAGGAATATGCCTAGTTTATAGTCACTAACCCGAAAGCTGGCAAAAGGTCAGGATGGTGTTACATATATATACAGAGTGATTTTTTTATCATTGCCCACTCAATTACTTGCAGAATAATAATAATTTAAACATTTTTTTTTTATTATCTTTAGTTACACATTATTCTTGAATTTTTAACGATGTAATACTTTTTAAGTTCATCCCTTATGTCTTGTAAGGGGGTCAACTTTGTTTTTTAAATGGTAACACATATTTTTAATTTAATAGTAAATGGAATTTGAATTTTTAATATACAGGTATAATACACAAGGTATTACAAATATAGGTAGCTAATTGGTTTTTTATGACATTGCTATCACAGTCACGAATTATTTATTATCAATTATAACTATTAATAGATATACTTTTTGTATTGTTAGTTAGTGTATTTATAAACTCACAACAATGTACCTTACTATCATTGATAATAAATGTTGTGTACCTGCAAATATCGATGTCATAAAAAATCAATTAGCTACCTGTATTTATAATCCCTTGTGTAATATACTTGTATATTAACTCAATAATTTGAAACTTTAAATGATTATATCTAATAAACGAATTAAGTTATATTAAAAATTCAAATTCCATTTACTATTAAATTAAAAACATTTTATTAAATTAAAAATATGTGTTACCATTTAAAAAAACAAAGTTGACCCCCTTACAAGGCATAAGGGATGAACTTAATAAGTATTACATAGTTAAAAATTCAAGAATAATGTGTAACTAAAGATAATAATAATAAAAAAAAAATGTTTAAATTATTATTATTCTGCAAGTAATTGAGTGGGTTATGATAAAAAAATCACCCTGTATATATAGTGATTTTTTGTTCAAAAAAAAATTACTGTTTTTAATTATAATTTTAACTAAAATATAAAAATGAGTAAAATATAATAAAACATATTTTTTTAAAAAATTTAATATATCTTTAATAATACAAACATGGTTGCAAGTACCTTTGATTAATGTACTACAGTACATCAATCAAAAGTATATATGAAATGCAGAATTATTTTTGTATCTTAACCCACAACAAAAAAATCACTCTGTATATATCATCATATTAATAAAAAATTATATAAATAATAGCTATACTCAGATAACAAAACTTTTTGTAAATTTCAATAACAGCATTATAGTGGTTGTAAAGCATCTTAATAAATCTTAGATAAATTCATAGAAAAAATTGTAAGAATAGAACTTGTCATCAATAAATATACATTTTTGTCTTAACTAACTGAATATTTTATAATATCTTTTAGTAAGGAAAATTTAATTTGATTTATCAACAAGCTGTTATTGTTCCAATACTGAACAAATGATAATTTGTTAAAAATGTTTTAACTGAAATTTTATCTAAGAATTATTTTTTGATTTAATATGATTTATGATAAACCATAAATAATACAACAAATTTTCATGCAAAATAATACAAGACTAATTAGAATTTTTGAAAAACTTCCCATTTTCCATGTTTTTGTCTTTTTATAAAATATAAGCCAGAATAAATTAATTTAAAAAAAAATATATATATATGTATTTGAAATAAAATTATTTTATTTTAAATTCTTTTTTCTATGAACTAAGAGTAATTCTTATAAATTCTAAAGAATGAAGAGAGAATAAATGTCCCAGATTTTAGTTGAAAAAATGATTAAATCAGGTAGTCACAATCATATGCTAGAGACATAATTTTTCAAAATACCTGAATTTGTCTTTCAAGTTCATGTTGTCTCTCTCCATCACGTTTTAAATCATCAGTTAATTTATCTTTATGCTCATTTTTATCTTTAATTTGTTTATTTAAAGATCTGTAAAAACATTATGAAAAACTAAAAACAAACGCATTAAAATTATTTTATAATTTATTATTTACTTAAGCTCTTTCTGAATCCATTTATCACGGTCTTCTTTAGAAGTAAATTGACTTCCTCTTCCTTGCTTAGCATAAAGTTCTTTTCTTTTTTGTTCTTTTAAAGCTAATCTGTAAATATACACAATTTTATTAGTAATTTTTTTAAATTTATTTTTTAAGACTATCAAGACAAATAGTTTATTATATAATTAATATCATGAACCTATATTTAATTATACAATGAGTTTAATAAGAAAGAAAAAAAGGTTTTTATTGTTTTTTATATATAGTTTTAATGTTTATTAATGAAGAATTAATATAGTAATAATATATATAAAATTCTATACTATACAAAAAATAACATCATTAACTACATAATAACTTATTTCAGTTATATATTGTATTCTTAAGTACCTAAATTAGTTTATAAAAGATCATTAATTTTAATAAAAATGGATTAGTTAGCAAAAAACTTTCAAATTCAGTTTTTTATAACACACAAGATGACTTTTCTTTTTTTTTCATAACACATAAATTTCATTTATAACTAGTGACATTACAAACCCTGATATTTGAGATTAAACGCAACTTTCAATTTTATAATCATACCTCAATCAACCAAAATATTTCATTGATCTCAAACCAAATACTAATTTGATGATATATCAGTCAAATATATTTTTTTTTTGACAAATTCAGCATAATTTATGATTATACTTGTTTAATTTTAAAACCAAATTTAAAAGAAAAAATTTAATTTGATTTTTAAAATTTTAAGTTTGAATGTCGAATGGAATCCAACACAGAATTTGTTTCTAAAATCAAACAGTTGATAAATATCATTACTTATAATCAAAATATGTTTAGAACTCATTTTTCTGTCACTTAAGTCATTTATATTTCCTTTATTTTCAATATAAATTTCATTAACTTACTCTCTAGTACAATCTTCTTCTTTTTTCTTTTGAGCTTCATACTTAGGTTTTAAATCTTGTAATTCTTCTTCCTTAGCTTTGATAGTATCTTGAAGTTTTTTCAATTCTTTTTCAGCTCGTTCCTGATTGATAGTTATACCGCAATAATTTAATAACATAATCAAAATATTATTTTTATTCTTTAGTTAAACTTCATTTTGGAATGATTAAAATTTTAAAAGATAATTTTAATTATAAATTAACACTATCTATAAGTATAAAAATAGTATAATGCATTTTATTTTAAAAGGTATACGTAATAACGTATTCACAGTAGTATATTTAATTATAAGCAAAATAAAAAGTCTAAGATCAAGCATAATGGGAAAAAAGTAATACTGTAACCAGTATTGATTGAAATCTGACAGTGATAAAAATCACCATCTTAAGATGCTTTAATACAAATGTGCTTAATTGTTAGATAAAACTTTTTGGGAATTAACTGAATAAATAAAAAATGAATAAAATAATTGAATGATAATACGACTAACTTTAATAAGTCTGTCCTGTATCAATATTTATTAAAAAGAATGGTATTAAATATTTTATAGGATAAAAATCAGCAAATTTCAATAAATTAATGTCATGCATTTAAAATACATTAAAAAAATCAAAACTATCCGAAAAGCATAAAATTTTCTACAAAATTGTCTAAAATTAAAAAAGATGTCTAAAAGTAATTTTTTGTCCTTTTTCATATAAAATGTTCATATTGATTATAAATTTTTAAAAAATTGACAGAAATTTATAAAACTTATAGTTTTTTTAAAATATGTTTCTTAAAATTACAAAAAAGAATAAATCAAATAAATAAAAGTTTTTGAGATATTTTACTTTTTTTTTTTCTACATTTTTTTTTAATTTTGAGGGTATTCTCTTTGACAAGATATAATTCGGGTATTATTGACATGTCATTTGTCAATATTGGTTCAATGAAAGCTGGGTCATAGCACATAAAAAATTATAATAATTATAATTATCATTATAAAATTGAGAGATCATTTCAACTTTGCTCTAAAGCTTATAGTAGTAATATTTTTTTTTTTAGCTTTAATGCGAAGCTTAGAAGTTTTCACTTTTTCTCAGCTCTCACAGGATGATAAGTCAAAATATCACAAATTGTATCTAGTTAAAGACATTACCGCAAAAACTGAAAATTTATCCCTCGTTCCCCATAAATGGTGGAAATCTCCCAAAAAATTACAATTTTTAAAATCGGTAAATTTCTACATTTTTTTCTCAAAAATTACCATAACTTATTGAAAAATGAACAAATCAAAATAATTTTTTTTTTATATATTAAAATCTTAAGTAAAATCTTCCCTTTTATTTTACATAATATTTTTGATAATCTGACCATTTACCTGCCCACAATGGGGGATTCAAAATAGAAAATTTTTTACAAAAGTCAACTTTTTCAACTTAACTATTGAAAATGTCCAGGAAATATTGTGCCCTTTAAACACATGTTAAATTACATCTTACATTATGTACTATAAGTTAAAAAATAAATTTGTCCCGACAAATTATCTTCTATGTACAAATGACTGTCTAAATTGAACAAAAATTAAGAGTTTATTTTGCTTTTGGAATAATTCACTAATTTCTTAAAATTAAACACTATCTACAGATTTACATTGAAGCATTTCTTAGAACATTGATTATAAATACTGTCAGATATTTTTAATGAAATTTTCAAAGTTTTTTTATATAACATAAAATAATAAACTCAGAGAATATAGTACAAAGAATGGTGTAGGGTTAATAATAATTGATGAGGAGATGAAAAGTAGAGTAGTAGAAGTAGCTAGGAAATGTGACAGAATTATGGTCATAAAATTGATATTCGAAAAAAGGTGCTAAATGTAATAAGTGCCTATGCACCACAAGTGGGATGTGATAAAATAGACAAGGAAGTGTTTTGGTGAGAGATGGATGAGGTGATGCAAGGGGTACTTGGCAATGAGGATGCGGTGATAGGTGATAAAATGTGGGAAATTTCAATCAGCTGTGGACACAAAATTAAAGAAAACTTGACTAGATTGTGTATCTCGAAAACTAATTATACAAAACTGATAATCAACCAATATAAAACTTTACAAACATCTTAAATATAACAACATTTTTTACAAATTTATTTATAATATTGTATAATAGTTGGAGATATGAATGGACATGTAGGTAATGAGAGGAAAGGATATGAAAGAGTACATGGAGGGTATAGTTTTAATGGGAAGAATATGGCTAGAGAAAGAACCCCAGATTTCACAGTATTGTATGATTTTGCTGTGTTTAATACTTATTTTAGAAAGAGGGAAGAACATTATATAACATATAAGAGTGGGAGTAATAGATCACAAATCGATTATTTTATGTGGAAGAGAGAGCGTAAAGCAAGAAAAATATTGTAAAGTTTTACCAGGCGAGAGTGTAATTACACAACATAGACTGAGAGTAATGGAGTTGTGGTGTACCGGAAAGAGAATAAATAAAAACCCAGCACAGGGGGGTCGTGGCACAGTGGTGACGTGGCATAGTTGGATCAAGTATAATGATATCTGACAGTGATTAAAATCACTATAAAAAAAACGCTTCGATACAAATTTTTAGAGTGTTTAATTTTAAAAATTTGTGTATTATTCCAAAAGCTACATGATCTGCTAGTTCCTTATTAATATCCTGTTTAAGATAAAGTATGTCGAATGAAAGATGTATATAAATACTACTTCTCATGAAAAAATTGTATTGATCCATACATTTTTTAAAAAGTTATAGCCTTTTAAAGTAAAAAATGTAAAATATAAAATCGAGAAATTTCATACAAAAATAGCATTTGGTAGCAGTTTTCTTCATGAAGACAAGTCCAGAGGTCAAATTGTTTTTTTTCATAATAAAGTACATTACATTAGCTTTAATTTAATATATATATATATATAAGTGTCAGACCTTCCGGAACATTTTCAAAAGTTAAGTTGAAAAAGTTAATTTTTTTTGAAAAAGTTGTCATTTTAAATCCCCCCCTGTGGGCAGGTTAAGTGTCAGATTTACAAAAAATATATACCAAATGATAGGTAAAGACATCAAGCATCTATAAAAAAAAAAATTATATTAATATGTTCATTTTTGAAAAAGTTACGGCAGTTTTTAGTAAAAAAAATTGAAAAAATTTCGAAAATTAGCGATTTTTAAATTTGTAATTTTTTTGGAGGTTTCCCCATTTACGGGGAACGAGGGAAATTTTTTCAATTTTTTAGGGTAATGTCTTCGACTAGATACGATTTGTGATCTTTTGACGTATCGTTGAAAGAAATCCGTTCGGTGAGAGCTGCAAAAAAATGGTAACAGAAAAAAAAAAAAAAAAAACACATCTTAGTAAAACCAATACCTTCTCAGCATCGCATCGAAGCTAAAATAGAAGAAACACAGGGGAAAAATCAAAGATCCGGTGGTGGAAATTGAAAGGAGAAAATGAAAAAAACTTTTTAAAGACGATAAAAGAGAGGACGGAGTGGAATGTCGAGGGAGACATAAATAATGTGTGGAATAGATTTGCTAGTTGTGTAAAGAATACTGCAAAGGAGATTGTTGGTGAGAGTAGGAGTAGAATGCCAGGAAACAAGGAAACCTGGTGGTGGGATGAGGACATTTAAAAAATCATAGAAAGTAAGAAAAAGCAATTCAAGGTATGGCAGAAGAGCAAAAGGAGAGAAGACTGGATGGAGTATAAGGTGAAGTATAAGAGTTATGATGAATTGTATGATAGGCTAGGAACAAATGAAGGCGAGAAAGAAATCTATAGACTTGCAAAGATATGAGAGAAAAGGTCTAAAGATTATCATTATATAAGGTGTTGATAATAAGGTACTCTTCAGTGATGATGATGTGAAAAAAAAGGTGGAAAGAGTATTTTGAAAAATTACTGAACAAGGAGTACCCAAAATAAGCATTAAAGGATATCTCGTGGAATGAGGGACTGGTAGATTTATTTAGTGAGAAAGAGGTATGGGAGTCTGTGGCATCAATGAAAAAGAATAAAGCAGTAGGACCAGGTGAAGTACCAGTAGATGTATGGAAAATATTAGGCGGTGTTGGCAAAAGATGGTTGAAGGAACTTTTAAATAAAATCTTTTTAGAAAGGAAAATTCCAAATGAATGGAGGAATAATATTGTGGTGCTGATATTTAAAGGTAAAGGTGACATACAGGAATGTGGATATTATAGAGGCATAAAGCTTATGAGTCATGGTATGAAAATTTGAGAAAAGGTAATAGATAAGAGAATAAGAAATAAGATATCGGTATCTAAAAACCAGTTTGGATGAATGCCTGGTAAGTGAACAATGGAGCCATTATTTTGTATGAGGAAACTAATAGTAAAGTTTAGAGAAAAGAAGAAAAAGCTGTGTATGGTATTTATAGATTTGGAGAAAGAGTATGATAGAGTACTGAGTGAGGTTTTAAAGTGGGCATTAATGAGAAAAGGAGTCCCGAAAAGTTACATTAATATAATAGAAGGTATGTAAGGATGGCACTTATACCCAGGTAAACAAAAAGTTTACGTTTACTCGAAATCGTTGTATTAGTGCAAGTATCAACTACTCGTGGATGTTTTACACGGCGTCCAAGGAGTGCAGTTGTTTACCTATTAAAACGAGAATGATGTACCATCGGTGGACAACATCCTGTCCAATTCTGTTTTTATATTTGATGATGTTGTCATGAAAAAAAAATGTAATGTGTGATTATTTCGTGCGAGGACGACACAGGCAAGTTGATGTTTTTTTTTCTCCCAATAACTGTCGCGCATACAAATACAAATGTTATGGCGACAACTGCCATGGCCATCTTCACCTCCCGCCTGTGTGGTAGATACACCTATATCACGTCGGAGAGCTGCCCAGCCTGCTCCCTGGCTAGATCCAACCCAGCCGACAACACCTCATCTGTCCGACCAATCACCAAGCGTAGGAGTAACAGAAGGTTTTTAGGTAAGAGTAGGAGTGCATCAGGGTTCTGCTTTAAGCCCTTACTTATTTTCTATAGTGATGGATGAAATTACTAGAGAAATACAAGGAGAGGTGCCGTGGTGCATGTTATTTGCTGACAATATAGTGTTAATAGGAGAAAATAGGGAGGAAATTAATCAAAGGCTAGAGGTTTGGAGATCCTTGAAAAAAAGGGTTTAAGAATAAGTAACTGTAAGACAGAGTATATAGAGTACGAGTTTGATAATGAAGAACACGAGGTAGGTGAAATAAGGAGACCAGTGACAATAGGCGAGGACATGATTGAAGAGGTGGAAAGTTTTAAGTATTTAGGATCAGTTGTGCAAAAGAGTGGTGGTATTTATGAGGATGTAAGACACAGGATTAAGTGGGGGTGGTTGAAGTGGAGAGAAGCATCTGGTGTCTTATGTGATAAAAGAATTCCAATGAGGCTGAGAGGTAAGTTCTATAACACTATAATGAGACTAGCTATGATGTATAGTTCAAAGTGTTGGGCAGTTGATAAGAAAGTAGAGCAGTGGAGTGTAAATTAATAGGTGTAGCGTCAATCATGGATAAGATGAGAGAAAATAGACTTAAATAGTTTGGTCATGCTATGAAGAGAGAGGAATCGGAAGCTGTGAGAATAATTATGAAAATGAATGTTGAAGGAAGAAGAGGTAGAAGAAAACCAAAAAAGAGATGGAGATATGTTATTGAATGCGATATGAAAACATCTGATATGAGCTTAGAGGATGTGGGAGATTGTGGTGTCAAATAGAAGTTTAGGATAAAGGTGGCAGACCCCAAGTAGTTGGGATTAAGGCGAGGAAGAAGAAAAAGAATTTTAAAATTTTAAAGTCTAGAAAGCATATAAATTTCACTTTTGTAAGTAGTAACATAAATATTTAATTATCTTATATATGATACAAAACATATATAAAACTGTATAATTATTTGCAGAAAAAAGATTTGGAAATCAAGTTAAATGCCATATATATATATATATATATATTTTTTACAAACCTTTGAATTATTGTCACCATTAACTTCATCAGTTAAATCTTTAATAGTAAAATCCAACTTTGTTTTTTGCTTAATCAACTCTTGTTGTTCTAAACTGAGGGTCTCTTTTTCCTCTTTAGCAGCATGAACTTCCCTTTTTGCATCACGTAGAAGCTTTGCAGCTTTTTTAGATTGGTCAGCTGCTTCTTTCACTTTGGTAGCAAGACGTTTTTGCTCTTCATCAAAATTATTTAACTTACCATCTAACTAAAATGTGTTACACTTATTGTACTGTTTTATTAATATATTGAACATTGCTATCTTACTTCCTCTAATTTTCGTTTAGTCTCTTTTAATTCTCGATCATGTATACAAAATTCTAAAGTTCGTCTTTTTTTGTCCCAATTTTGATATTCTTTAAGTTCTTCTTTTTCTTCTTCCAATGTAGTAAGTCTTTCTTCGATTGTTTTAATAAATTCAACTATTTTTTCTAACTTTGTCTGAGTATCTAAATTTTTTTATTAAATTATAATAAAATTAAAAAGTTTAGTAATAGTCCAATGCATCAGTAGCTTTTTCAAAAAACATTAGGACAAATTGAGATTTCAAGTTTTTTATAAGATAAACTCAACGATTTTGTAATTTTGAATGCGCAAGTATAAAAATTAGGAATATAATACATAAGAATAGTTTTTTTTTTGGTTTATAATAATAAAATCACCGTGTTTAAAAAAGAATATTTTCTTCAAAATTTGTATTAACCACTATTAAGTTTATACATTTTTAGTGATTACTATAGGGTTCATAACTTTATGATGGTAAATACATAAAAATGATTGCTACCTTTTAATTATACTTACCTTTCAATATTTCAATTGATTCCTCTTTGCGTTCATCATATACACGTGTTCCAGCTACTTCTCTAAGAAGTTTTAACCTATGCGAATCTGGTGCAGTAGCCATTTGATTAATCTACATTAAAAAAATATAACTGTTAAATGTTTATATTCAATTTGTTAAAAATTAATATTTTAAAATAAATAGTTACTTTTCCTTGTTTAACTATGTAATATGGATTTGAATGGGAAAATCCAGCAGATTCTAACAAATTAGTGACATCAGATCGAGGGACCATTTTTTTATTTAAAAAATACTGATCTTTTTTAGCACCAATTACACGTCTTAGAACTACCTCATCTTTTTCTATCTAAAAATATTTTTTAAATAGTTGCAAAAAAAGTTATTTTATATAATTTTATAGCTAACAACAATTTCAATGCAATTATACCAATTTTTTTAAATGAACACAAAAAATTATAATTATTTTTTTTTTTTGTAAGATTTACATTTTATATTAACTTGACCCTCTAAAATAATTCAATGATTTTATTAGTAGTAATTTCTCAATTTACAGGTGGTTAAATATATTTTAGGTTCTAATATATTATAAGGGTATTAGCAACATTTTTTTTGTAATAGAAATGTAAATATTTAGCTATGTTATAATAACTTATTTAAGAAAATGATTAATTGAGAACAATTTTGAACCAGTAATTTAGAAGTATATAACAGTTTAAAATAAAGACAGGAGTTAAATTATGTCTTATTCTTAAATTATTAAAATAACAACCATTAATTAAATAATTATAACCACTGAAGTACTGGTCTAAAATATTATAGTAATTTGATAAGTATAATTGTTTAAAAAATATAAGTAAAATATTTTTTTAATAAAACTATATATGTTAAAGTACATGGCTCAAAATTAAAAAAAAATTAAATTTAAGTGATGAAGTGTGCTCAAAGATATTATATAAAAATGTCATTATAACAACATTCTTTTTTAAATTTAGTGTTATGATTGTTATAATTATGTATCATATAGTATAATAAAGAATTACAAGTGCAAAAGAGCTAATAAATTATGCAACTTCAAATATTCTAATAGTCATAAAAAAATATTTAAGTAATTATTTATTTAACATAATAATGATAAATATTATGCAATAACTTAAATTCAATTTATATTGAAGTATAGAACTTGCATATAAGATAAAAAAAAATATTTAAACACGATAAATTGCAAAACAACTTTTTTGAGAATAAACTATTTTGAATAATTATGTTTTACATTAATAACAAATTTGAAATGCACAAATGCAAAATAAATATTTACAGGTAAACGATTGTCTGTATTATCAAAAATAATCTCAACATAAGCTGTAACTACTCGAGGACCAGTTCCTTCATGAAGTAAAGCTTGTCTTTGTTCAGGACGGAGATGTGAGAATTCATCACTGAGAACAAACTGTATAGCTGAAAATTATTTATTTCATTAATTATAAATGGTATTATTACTCAAGAAGCATATAACTTACCATAAAAAAAATTACTTTTTCCTGATCCATTACGACCAACTAAAAATAATAATCATATTTTAGTATTACATTTTTACTGCTTGTTTGTATAGTGTTTTTTACATATTTCTACTTAAACTTTAAAGAAAATATTCATAGGACTTCAAATGAAAAGTTAATATTAAAAAATTGATAGTTTACAAAGATAAATTGTACTTTAATTAGTTTCATTATAGTAAAAAAATTATCTTCAACAATTATATTTAATAATTTTGAATCAATTTTAAACAAAATACTACTCTAACTTTCTATTTAGTTTGATTTTGATTTTTATTTAATTATATGAATAGGTAAAACTTAATAAAATCTACATAATATTTTAGGAATAAATATTCTAAAAATAAAAAATTTAAATCTTATGTTATTCAAAGAAATGTGAAATTATACATTATAGGAATATTACAAACCAACAACATTATGTCTTTTATCAAAAGGTTCAACAATAGTTTGTTCTCTGTAGCTCTTAAAACCATGTATAATAACCTAAAATAAAATAAATAATTTAATATATTTTTGATAAGTTATATCAAATATCAATAAATTAAAAATTTATTATTAAAAATGACATATAATAGGAAAAATATTCCATAAATATTAGGTTTCTATGATTTAAAACCTTTGAAAATCTTGTTTTCAGTTTAAAGTAACTTTAGAATGAAAAAATTGATTAATTAAAAGAAATTTCATTTCATTATATAATTTCATATTTTTTAATTTTAACTTACCTGTTTAATATACATAGTTCTTATTTATTAATACTTCAATACGTTTTATATTTACTTATTAATACCTACATATCAATCAATAAAATAATTAAAAAAAACTAAACAATCTTAACCAAACTCATTAATTATTATAATTATTCTTTTTATAATACACTTAGAAAATTATATCATTAGAACAATACAGGTTACAATTGATACAAATTTAGTAAAAAGTAAACAAAATGGTTCTCAACTGAGATAAAAAAGACGCCGCTCTTGATAAAGAAGTTTTACCATATAACGACATTTTGTATAACCGACAAACTTCACTCTGCTAAATGAACGTGGTTAAATTTTTTGAGTTATCAATTACTAATATTTAAGTAGGTACGCACATGATTAAAGATAGAAGTATGCATTCTATCTATAATCGTGGGTGCTTGTGAGAAAAAAAATATAATTCTTTTAAAATTTATGTAATAAATTGTTGTAAGAGCTATAGCCACAGATAATATTTTCATATAGTCTATACTATAATAGCTAGCAATTTTGGCACCGAAACAAATCAACTTCTATTAAGTACCCGTTTTACGACAGAACCTTATTTTAATTCCTCGACACTTAGGGGCGTAATTAAGAGGGAACTGGAAGATTGATCTCCCATAAAACAAAAATATTTACACAGTGAATTGCTAGGACATGGCGCATTGTTTGGAGTGTCTGATGAATTGCAAAGAATCAATCTATTAGGTTACATAAAAGTTGAAGAAGTGGTCGGTTACTTCTGGATGGCTTTTTTTCGTGTTCCATTTGCTTATTTATTAACTTCCACATAATAAAAATTGGTCATGTTACTATGATATGTGAATTTTTAAAAACGATGTGACAGTTGAATGAGTATCATAAGCGGGACCGACCAGCAAGTCTTACGCTCCAATCTCGTACTATTTTTTTTATATCAGGGCTTCAAGCTTGTGAAAAAAAATGTAGTTGTATAAAAATTATTTTTACCCAGCAAAATCTTAAAACTGGCCCTAAACAGAATAAAGGCGGTTGGCAGTATTTAATTTGTATTGACTTAGCAATTTTGTAGTATTTCAACGTCACTAATTGTTTAAAACAACATACAACTATATGCATATCACATCGATGATTTTTGTGAGATAGTTAAGTCAATTTTTGTAATTTTTAAATAATTTATGAACATTATTAGACGTTTTCTACTGTGCTTAATGGTATTCAAGTTGTTTCCATTGTTAGTTTGGGATATTATTATAATGCGATTTGATTTGAAGTTTCATTAACCATTAGGTTAAAAAATTTACTTGAAATACGGAATATGTAATAGTCTGTATTTTAGTGTAGTGGAAAATTTTCAATTTTGATTTAGTCGTTAATTTACAAAAATTGTCATTATTTAATCGAAGTATAAGAAGTATAAAATCTCTACGGTTAAAAAGAATATTGGAACTGGTCATTGAATATAGTAATTTTATATACAAAGAATTTCAGATTTACATTCATACAAATATGATGGGGCAGACTATTACATTAAATATTGAATACCTATACTCAACTTAAAAAAGAAAGACGACAATTATTTTTTCAAAAACATTGATTATACAAGGATCATCAGAATTTAATGAACTAGAAAATTTTTTGATAAAATAAAATAAATAATAATAATTGTTTTTTGATTTCTTTTAGGTATATCTTACTCAAACTATCAATTATAAGGTATTTTTAGATGTTTATCCTTATGCTTTATAAGGGTGTAAACTTAATTTTTTTTATGAGCAAAATTAACATAATTAATTAACTTATGTTTTTTATCAAAATAATTTTTCAACTTTTTTTTTGAAAATAGTGAATTTTTGTAACACTATTTCATGTAAAATTTGGTGAATATAAGAAAAAACCAACATTTTTTTATATTAAACATAATTATATTGTTGACATAAAAAAATATAAAGCATTCAAATAGGACTAATACAACAAATTTTTTTCCTACAAATTTGCTCTATTAGACTCATTGCACAACATAAAATTTGGAATAAAAAAAAAGATTTCTAACTTATATAAGTTGCTCACTTAGTATACTTATATTTCAAAAATTAATAACTGGTAGTAGAAGAAACTAAAGCATAAAAATATGCTGGGTATTTTATAAAACGCATTAAACAAAAAAAGGATAAATCTTAGATTTTTGACATTAGTAACTTTTCAATATTCTTCTTACTAGATGTAATAAGATCACCTAAAAAAAAAAAATTATATAAATAAGTGAATTTAACAACAATAAATTATAATAATACACAATGTGTATGAAGTCAATCGTATAGTTTAATCTGTCTGAAGTGAGAATTGAAAATTGGTTAATCAAATCTATCAATATCTTAAAATTTTGTCATATTTAGATTAATTATCAATTTTATGATCATTAGTACCTCATTTTTTTTTATTGTTGTTATATGATAATAATATGTCATAAATTCTTACCAAAAAGTACTGTTAAATCCAATATTGATTGTTTTTTATTAATACTGTAATATGTAGTTTCATTTCCAGGCCTAAAATTTTTTTAGACTTTAATAACAAAAATGAACTGCATCCTGTTATAATTTTGTTGATCATTCCACATATTTTTTAACCGACACCAAATATTGTTATTTTATAAATAATTGTTATTGCTTTTTACTTTGTTATTGATAATAAAATTATTAAAGAAATACAAGGAGAGGTGCATGGTGTTTGTTGTCAATATAGTGTTAATAGAAACAAAGAAAAAAATTAATCAACAGCTAGTGGTGTGGAGATCAGCTTTTAAAGGAAGGGAATTAAAAATAAGTAGGAGTAGGACAGAGCATTTTGAGTATGACTTATAATGAGTAATGAGGAGATCAGTGATAATAAGCAAGGACGTAATAAGAGAGGTAAAAAGTTTTAAGTATTAAGGATTAGTTCTGCAAAAGAATGGTGGTATTGACAAGGATGTAAGACACAGGATTAGTGAGTGATGTGGAGAGAAGCGTCTGGTGTCTTATGCGATAAAAGAATTCCAATGAGGCTGAAAGGTAAGTTCTATATGACTGTAAGGAGACTAACTATGATGTATGGTTTAGAGTTTTGGGCAGTTGACAAGAAAGTAGAGCAAAGATGAGAATGTTATATGGATGAATGGAGTAACTAGAGAAGACAGGATAAGGAATGAACATATAAGTAGGAGTATAGGTGTAGAGTCAATCTTTGGTAAGATGAGAGAAAATATACTTAAATAGTTTGGTCATATTATGAAGAGAAGGAATCAGAAGCTTTGATAATAATTATGAAAATAAATGTCGAAGGAAGAAGAGGTAGAGGAAGACCAAAAAAAAAAAGAGATGGAGATATGTTATTGAATGCAATATGACAACAGCTGATGTGAGCGTAGATGATGTGGGAGATTGTGTCAAGTGGAAGTTTAGAATAAGGGTGGCTGACCCCAAGTAGTTGAGATTAAGACGAGGAAAAAAAGAAATGTTAAGTGTTAATTTAATAAAAATGTTTCTAACAAGTTGGATAAATAAAATATTTTTAAATATTGCAATATAAGGTTAAATTATAATAATAATATAATTACTTTTTATATTTGTTTATCATTTGCAATTTAATTAGAGAATTTAAATTATTTATAATGAAATCTTTTGATAAACAATACAAATTAAAACACTGCTGGAAGTTATCATTCATTAAATATTCAATTCTCAAATAAACTAATTTATACAAATAAATAGCTGAAATATCTTTTGTTGATACCTGAAAACAGTATACTTTCAGGTATTTGAATAAATTTTTGTAATTTAAGCATTATTTGATCATGAACTTACACTTCCAAGAATATCATATATAAGTTGATAACAATACAAAAATGGAGTTGAAATTAATAACCTTAGTAACTCTTTTTCTTTTTTATTCATACATAAATAAAGTGAATAACTTATTTTAAAATCCTGGAATAAATTAAAAAATAATCAACTTTAGTTTAATTCTTATCATGACAAATGTTTTGACAATCATATACTGCATTAAAAAAAAAACAAATTATTGTTCTTTATTACTTACTTCAATTTCTGAAAATTCTATAAATGCAAATTCAAATTCAAATAATTTTCGTAATAGAAAAAATTTTGCTTTAAGATTTAACAGTTCTGAAAATAAATAGTATTAGGCATGGTAACAACATATTTTATGATCTACTTAAAAATACAATATGTTGAGTCACTTTAAAAGACATTAAATGCATGTGCCTGGAAAAGTTTCCTGACTTTTTAAATTAGTGTTAAGGCACTGATGTACCTAATATTAATAATAATAAAGACCTTTTTTTCTTTTCTATATTGATCGTAGTGTGTCAGGATTTAGTACTTCAGGCCGCACAATTCTTAAATGCAAGACTTAAAATAAGAAAATAATATCAAGATACGACGTAGGCATTAAAGGATATCAATTATAAACCCCACACCAAAAAAGAAAACAATATGAAATTAACACATTTTTTATCAATAAACGTCCAATAATTTTTATGTTAAATGAAATGGAATTTTTAATTACTATTCATTTAAAATTGAAAAATACACCTTTTCTTAAATATGAAATAAAAATAATTGTTGTGATATAAGCCATAAATATAATTAATAAGAAATGTTATTAAAGTAATATATTAAATACTCCACTATTTACTTACCATTGTTCCAATACATTTTAGAATCTATTAATATAGTTATGAATGCAACATTCACAATAAAATGTAATGTAGGATTTATGTATAGCTGATTGAGTATCATAGGAAATGCACTTTTGAATGTTTCATACTTAAATTCTGTGAAAATTTGTATTAGAGTTATGTCAGCAACAGTGAATGTAAAAAAGGATTACGTATTACATTTTAGTACAGTTTAATGGGTTAAATTAATTTTTTCTAACCTAAATTTTAGATTCAATGCAAAGCAATAAATGATTCTTAACATAATAATTATATTAAAAAAATTATTTATGGTATTTTTTATTTTTATATATTTTTTGATTTATCAGTTATTAACAGAGAACGAATTTAATTGTAACTTCTGGGTGAATAATAATAATTAACATATGGTAAGGTATTAATATATTTCTTAATTTTTTAAGTTAAGTGGTACCAATTTCTCATTTTATATATTTGTATAATTATTAAATATTATATACATATTTTGGTATAAGATCTAAACATTTGGGAATATCTTTCCCCGAAAAAGAAGATTCAAAAACCTAAAACCCAAAGAGATACTTAATTTTGTTAGAGACAGGACTCTTTGAATGTATGTGCAGCCTAGTATAACGTTCTATATATAATTTTAGGTAATGAACAATAGCAACAACACTTCGGTGAAAACACTTATGTGAAGAAACTGAAACAATATAATTCGTTAGAAGATGCGCACAATAGACCTATAGACCAATTATTGGTCTATAGACCAATTATTAGTCTACAGACCTATTATAGGTCTGAGTACATGGGCAATTTTTTAAAACCACTTTTATAACTAAAACTAAAATTAAAAAACTATATATTTTAGTAGTATGGCGTTGTTTGCCTCATTATTATTAAGGTTTTTCGTTTTTANCTAGAAATTTCTTAAAAGCAAGATTTTTTAGTTTAAAAATAGTCATATCTGCATAAATAAGAAGCTTGACTTAAATCATATGTATACAGGGTGTTCAGTAAGTCAGGAAACGGGTTTCTATTGTTCTCATTGTTTGTAACAATGAGAACAATAGAAACCCGTTTCCTGACTTACTGAACACCCTGTATACATATGATTTAAGTCAAGCTTCTTATTTATGCAGATATGACTATTTTTAAACTAAAAAATCTTGCTTTTAAGAAATTTCTAGAACACTATATTGATAGAAAAATTCAAGACGAAAGTACAATAAGAAAAATGTACGAAGTGTAATTTATAATAAAACATTAACATTGATAAGACAAATATTCAAAATTGGCCTATTTGAGTTTCTATAGATGAGTCAACTGATTCAAACTATAATATACGTAGGTACTATTATAGTCCACAAACTCAGTCTTGAACAAAATTCTTCGTTTTTTTTAAATTGCGAAAAATTAGACAGATGTAATCATAAACAACCACCAAACTTCTCAATGATTCAATGAAATCGTTATGGCTAGACGATATACAATAAGAAAACGTACATTAATTTTTATCCTATGTTTCACCATATATAGTCAAAGCAGGAAGTCTGTTGAAAGAGTCAAAAATGTTTTAGATAAAGCAAAAGATATCGTCGGAAATATAGCAAAACAAACATATGTTTCTCAAAAAATCCCGGATTAGAAGATATGAAAAACTATAAAGACTATGCTTGAAGGGGAAATGGTAAAAACATTAATAGTCAATTTTACTCCTATTGAAATAGCTAAAATGAAGTATGCTCTAATTATGTCAGTGACGTGGAACATTTATTTAACAAATACAATAATATTCTACAACATAACTGTCAAAACTTTAATTTGTTTTAATTTGAGAGAATATGTGGTTTCACATTGTTTTAATGTTGATTATTCAATGAAAGTTAACACATTATTTTTAATTCATACATTTATTTAATAGATTAACTATAATATTCAGTTACGATTTATCGGTCGTATTGTACGGACGTGTTTATCTCGCGTACGTTTGTAGTTACCCGCCTATTTTTAGAGTACTATTCCGTTTATTCATAGTTTTTATCAGTTTTGAAACCATTGTTTTGCCTTTTTGGCACATTTACGGTGTGTGTTATATTATTGTGTGGGAAAAACAAATATATCTAGTGTCGAAGTCGTAGCTTCTCCTTCCTTTCCTTCCCTTAGCCATTTTACCAATACATATACTAATAAACATAATAAGAAAAAAAGTAATAAAAACTCAAGTCCCCTCCCCCCATTTTCCTCCTTTACCGAATGACTGTTCTAGGCCAATTTCGCCTAATGGCAGTTTTTTGAAATATATATCCCAAAATCGCAATGTAAAAGTTGATGATCGTAACTGGATTTCCTACTTTTCACAACATATCGCTCAGCTACACGAAATTCTTCCACTCCCTCTCCCTCCTCCTCGCATACCGCTGTTAACAGATTTAATTATTCGAAAGCTGATCTAAGGCCATCTTTCCAAAATTACATGACCATTTTCACTTCTAATTTTTCCTACTCCTCTCCCATTGAAGACTACAACTGGTTGGTGTCTACAATTATTAGAGCCGTTAATTTATCTGTTCCTTTAATTAAAAGACCAAAAAGTTTTTTTCCTCCTTTCAAATATGGTAGTCTTCCTCTTGCATCTACGCTATCAATGAACACACTAAAGCTTTTAAAAAATATAGACCCTCGGGTCGATTAAGCGACTTTTTTGAGTACCAAAGGGTACGCACCTCTATTCAAAAAACACTTAAACAAGCAAAAATTATGTCCTGGTGCTCCTTTTGTTCCTTACTTAATCCTTCATCTAGCCTGTCCAATACCTGGGCTATTGCCAAAAAATTTAAAAACTGTCTATATAATAATTCTCCCTCTTTAAACGAGTCATGGGTTGATCCCTTTTGCAATAAGGTTGCTCTTCTCTACGTCTCAAACTTTCTTCAAATTTATTATTTCGAGGCTGCTCTATTGAAAAGCCAGTTAATTATTTTCGCTAGAAAAAGCTTACCTTCCGTTTACCCCATAAATACTCTTGATGGGATAATCATCTCCCCCTCTGATTGCGTCACTTATTTAGGCCTCAAACTGGAATCTAAGCTGAGATGGCTTCCTCATTTCCATTTCATTCTTTCGTCCGCTGCTCGCTTGGCAAATTTCTTGCGCTGTATTACTGGTACATTCTGGGGCTCTCATCCATCTTTATTACTTCTCATTTTTAAATCCGTTATCCGCGCTAAAATTGAATACGGCTCTTTTTCTCTATCTTCTTTAGCTTTCTACACTCATAGGAAAAAACTAAATTCCTTTTAATCCCCATGCTTGCGCAGCATTCATGGTGTTCTTAAGTATACCCCGAGCCATAGTATTTTTGTTTATCTCTCCCCTCAAAATCCGCTGTCGATTGCTTGCTAATAAATTTCTCCAAAAATGTATCTCTACCATCATATCATTTCCTTATACAGTAGAACCCCTCTAATCCGCCAACTTCGGGACCGTGGGTATGGTCGGAACGCAAAAAAGGTCGGATTATCCGAAAAAGTAAAATTTTAAAAAATTAAAAAAACAAGTTAATTTAAAAATTTATTTACAAAAAAAGTCAGTTATACATTTTTGTTTAACAGATGAAATTCTTGACTTAGCTGCAATATTCCTACATTTCTTTATCCACAAAATGTCCATAGGTTTTGAGCTTGAGTCCTGCTCAATGTACTGAAGGGCAATATCAAAAGCGTTTTTGGCATCGGTATGTGAAATCCGGGCAGGAGGTTCGTCATCATCATCATCTGAGTCCTCGTTCACAGTTTCTTTACTTATATTTTCTAAAACGGCGGTAATAATCTCATCGTCACATTTGGTCATCCATTCCTCAACGTCATTGGCACGGATAATCACTTGTACAGTTTGCAGATCTTTAATGATTTCCTGCGTGTCGTTGTTTTGCTCGTTTTCTATCTAGTCACTTTCGGCCATAATTGTCGGACAAAGCTTACGCCAAGATTTTCTCAGCGTGTCAGGTCTAAGTTCCTCTCATGACTCTGCAATCGTATAAATAGCATTTTTGATGTTGAGGGATTTCATAGCTTCAAGTATGTTACAACCTTCTTCGGACTTTTCTAAAATTGAACTGATGTACTTTCTACGATAGCGCCTCTTTAACCATTCTATCACTCCCTGATCCATTGGTTTGATAAGTGATGTGACATTTGGTGGAAGGAAGATAGCTTTAATGTTCCCTTTCACTAAATCTTCTTCTGATGGATGTGATGGTGTGTTATCTAACAGCAATAGAGCACGAACGGGAAGCATTTTTTGTTTTAAGTCTTTTTCAACAGATGGAACAAACTCGTCGAAGAACCAATATTTGAAAAGATTGTAATCCATCCAAGCAGATTTTTGATTGCGGTAATAAACCGGCAAGGAAGACATGTTTATGTTTTTGAATGCCCTAGGCTTCTTATATTTATCAATAACGAACAGCGGAAACTTGTGTGAACGATCACCGTTGCTGCAAGGAGCAATGGTTAGCCTATCTTTCATAAGTTTCGTTCCTACGACTGTTTCATTTGATGCAGCGAGCGTTTTGTTTGGGAGCATTTTATAGTTTAGGCCAGTCTCGTCTATGTTGTAAACTTGACAAGATAACAGCTCATTTTCTTCGACAATTTTTTGAAACTTTACGAAAAATTCCTTAGCCGCCTCAGCATCAGCAGGTAGTTTTTCACCAGAAATTGAAACAAACCGGACGCCATGACGGGTTTTCCAGCGAACAATCCAGCCTTCACTAGCTGCGAACTCACTTTCAGCTTCTAATTTTTTGTGCAAAGATATTGCCTTTTCTTTTATGATATCGGGGTTCCCCTTTGTCTTTTTAGACAGAACCACATCCACAATGCGTTAACAAGCAATTCAAGTTAAGGTTTTCTCAACGTTTTCCGATACTTAAGGATGTTTTCACTATCTATCTATAGATAGTGTCACTATCTATCGTCACTGTGTATGATTCAATGTCTTTCCGATTTTTTCTCCAGTCTTTCATAGTCGTAACGCCTACATTGAGTTCCTTGGCAATATTTTAGAGTGATTCCCCTTTGTCCAGTCTTTGTAACATTGTTAATTTTTTATTTAATGAAAGAGTAACATGCTTACGTTTCACTCCTGACATGTTGAAATTAAATTATGTACACACAATTGACGCCGTCGGAATATTACCGTCATACTGATTTGGATATCACCCGGATCAGATGGTAATACTCTGTGTTGTGCTTTTTGGAAGTGTAAATTAATAAAACCCGAGATGCCTTATCACTTATCGGTGACCGTCGGCGTTGACATAAATACGAGTCAATGTCCGACGGCCATTATCTAGTCTTGATTTATGTACACACGAATGTACAAAAATAATATGAGAGATAATTCAATACTGAAAATAATGGGAAGTAGCATGCGATCGCGAGTAAATCATTAACAAGTCGAGATATGTTTTTCAACTCTGATAACGGTCGGATTAGCCGGAGTGATAGACTAGCCGAGGGCGGACTAGAGGGGTTCTACTGTACTCTCAATTAAGTAATTGTTGGTGCAACGTGCCTAAATCGCTGCAAATTTTAGCCTCAGTATGCTCTTCCCTGTCTCTCATGGTCTGTCACATTTACAAATCACACTCCAGATTACCTTTATTTGATTGTCCTCTAGTGGCCCTTACACTAGCTCCCATAGTGTATACTTTAACATATTTCCTCGGCTTCCCTCCTTCAATCCTCCGTTCTCTTCCTGTCACTTCTGTTAATAATCTCTTTAAAGATTATATCTCATCTAATTTTCCAACTAAATGCTTGATATTCACAGATGATTCTGTATTAACTAACTCGACTGGTTGTTCATTCTTTATTCCTGAACTTAATATTTCATACTCAACTGTACTCCTCCCTTCTTTTTCTTCTTCTACCACTGAATGCCTCGCCATCGTTAATGCTCTTATTTTTATATCTTCTACTTCAATTAATGAATTTGCTATTTTTTCTGATTCTCTATCTTGCCTACTTGCCATCACATCTAATCTATTTTCCTCTCATTTTTCTCCCAACATTCTTATTATTAGATCACTCATCTCTTTGATTTGATCCCAGAATAAATCTATTCTATTTCACTGGGTGCCGGGTCATGCCAGAATATTAGGTAACGAAACAGCTGATCGTCTTGCTACTTCTACCTCCCCTTCTTTACTTCTTTTAGTGATAACATTTCCGCTTCTGACTTTCTCCGCCTCTTTCGACAGACAGTTCTTCAAGCCTGACAGGACAGTTGGGCTGCAATAAAATTGAAAACGGTATGTTGGTATCGCTCGATATCTCCTTCCATTATTCATTTTCCATGGTTTCATAACCTTGACTTATCCAAAAAAATCATTACTCAGTACTCAAGACTTGAGAGGATAGGTCATAATCTTCTTCCTTACCATGCATTCCATTCCATCTTTCCTTAAATTCCGTTCCCTTTTGTCCCCTACATGATAGTGAAGCTCTATGCGATTTTCCTAATCTTCTCTTTGATTGTCCTACCCTAATTAACAGCAGAAATAAACTATTTAGCCTCTTAGTCTCCCACAATATTAATCCCCCTTCCGTAACTAATACTCTTAATTCCCGTTCTTCCATTATAATTATTTCCATCAAATACTTCAAGAGGAGTTCCGGCTTTGTCATTTAATCTCTAATTATTATTATTATTATATTGTAGTTATTTATTTATCTGTTTTTTTTCTCTCTTTCTTTTTTTCTTTCAATTAAACATTTTAATTTAATAATTTTTCAGTTTGTCATTAAAGGCTCTGTTAACAATAATTTTAAATAATGTACTAATATAATACTAACAATTATTGCCGCATTTGTTGTACCATTATAACATAGTGCTATGACTGTTATACTTTTTACTTTCGCTTAGAATTGTTGAGCTAATTATTATTTTAATCAAGGCTATTAAAAAAAAAAAAAAAAAAAAAACTACAAAATTAATAATTTATTTTTATTTAAAGACAGTTTTTTTTGTTTTTTAAATATTATAAGATGTTGAATTAAAATAGGTTAATACATATTTTTTAAATATTTATTAAAAAGTGAATACATATATATGTACATATGTTGGTATTTTTATTCAATTAAAATCCGTTTCCTGATTATTAATGACTTTTTTTTTCTTATCCTTGATTCATTTTTAAAAAGATTTCAAAAAAATTTTTTTAAATAGCAAAATACATATTTAATTAGTTTTTAAAATAAAAAATTATCTAATTAAGAAAATGACCGGTTGATAACAATTTCTGGACTAGCACTTAGAAAGTCATTAACATTTTTATATTAAGGCGAGAGGAGAGGTACAGCTAAGAAATGCCTATTGATAAATTTTTCATACCTACTTTTCTCCCACAGTCTATATTTTAAAATCATAATAACTTCCATTTATAAGATTAGAATTTATTTTAGTATAAATATTTACCTAATGAATCATGGAGATCAAAATTTTGTATACCATCAGTATGAATTCGCAAGTTATTATCTTCTAAAACTAAATAATTAAGATGCAGTTTTATGCTTTCTGTAACTCTTTGTGTTATGTCTGATTCTAAAAAAATACATATAGTTATAATAAGTGATAATATTATTATAAATCATTTTATTAATTACAAAATAAAAAAACCTAGCACAGTGGGGACGTGGCATAGTTGGGTCAAGTATAATGATATCTGACAGTGATTAAAATCACTATCATAAAAATGCTTCGAAGCAAATCTGTAGTGTTTATTTTTAAAATATTGGTGGATTATTCCAAAAGCTCCATGATTTCCTATTTCCTTATTTATATCCTAATGAAAGAGGTATATAAATAGTATTTATCATAAAAAAATTGTATTGATCCATATATTTTTCAAAAAGTTATAGGATTATAAAATTAAAAATATAAAAAAGAATTTTTTTACAAAAATCTTATTTTTTTATTAACTTTGATGTTAGTTTTCACCATAAAAACAAACTAAAGTTTGAAGTTTTTTTTTCATATTTAAGTATATTACATAAGCTTTAATTTAAGATATATATAAAAGTGTCAGTATTTCCAGAACACTTTCAAAAATTAAGTTAAAAAAGTTCTCCTTTCTATATGCATTTTTAAGTTTTGAACCCCCCTGGATATAGGGAAATAGTCCAATTAAAAAAAAAAGTATATAGAATGAAAGAGGTATATAAATATTATTTTACATAATAAAATTGTATTGATCCATACATTTTTCAAAAAGTTATGGGAATATAAAGTTAAAAATTTATAATATAAAATCGAGAATTTTAACATCGAAATAGCATACGGTAGTCATTTTCTCCGTGAAGACAAAATAAAGTCCGAAATTTTTTTTTTCTTAATAAAGTGTATTATATAAGCTTCGCGTCGAAGCTAATAATTATCAGAAACTTTTAAACCAGGAGTATTACTAATAAGAGAAGGATGGTAACGTACCTGCCTTAAGTTACCTTAGTCAACTAAAATGACACTTCTTTAACATTACGATAAATCAAAGAACTTTTATTACTTTATGATCAGCTTAATTAAATATAAAGAGTTCCTTAAAATAATAATTTTGTGAACACTTCTATTTTGAATTATTAATACAGAAGTTATTAATATTTTCAAAGAGGTCAGAAACATTTTTTCATAAAATAACAAGAACCTTATTTATATCAAAATATAAAACTGAAAGCTACTTTTTTTTAATTCTCTATGAAATAAGTTGATTGAAGGAATAAATAACCTTTTTAATTATAATTTTTAATTTGTTAGAATATAAATTTAAAAAATCAATTAATTAATATTAAATAAAATAATAAAGAAAATTTCAAAAGATAATAGTAATGGCAATTAAAATATGATTTTAGTAATAATTTAGGCACTAATCTAAATATGTCAAACATATGGTGAGAACTAATAAAAAATATAGTGATGTCTTTCATTGTATGCAGAGTACACATTTGCATTCTTATAATTTTGTCATAATTTTTGGGCTCTGATGCCTTGGGTGATTCTTCCCACCTCTAGCATCCCCTATTAACCTCTAATAACCTCTGTAATTTCTAAAAAAAAATTTTAATGACATTTTTAGTAATATACTTATAAAAACAGTTAAATAGCAATTTATCATCACTAAAACCTCTATATTAAATTATTTACTTTTAATTTCTACTGTTGCTCCACATTTTTCAAAAAGTTTGTTTATCCAGAAAATATTATCAATAACTGTGTCTAAATGAATTTGATTACTGTAGTTTTTTGATAAACAAAAAATTAAATCTACTGCAAGAATATTAATGTAAGATAAAACTATCCCACGTTGTTGCCTGCAAGTAGAAATCATATAACTTTTAATACAAGTTATAATATAATTTAAATTATTTTCCATTATAATTTCACCTGTATAAAATCTCATATGCTAAAGTTTTTAAAATGTCATTCTTGTTCATAATACTATTTAATTTATTAGTATTAATAAAATTCCGAGCAGAAATTGGAGAAGAAAAATGTATGTATATGTTACCATAACTTTTGTCCAATTTTTTTATGCTTTTAATAAGGCCCTATTATTTTTCACAATTTCATTAAATACAATTATGTATCTTCAAACAAGTAAAGAAAAATATTGTATATAATACCCAAGTTGTTTCTTTTACTTTAGGAATTCCAAGAAGTTCGCATGAAAATAATTTATCTTCAAGGAGACGATCATAGTTTATAGAAATTGGCACAAAAATTGTATCATGAATCTCATCATTAAGAATAAGATCTAATATAAACTTTAAAAGTCCTAAAAATAAATAAAAATATATTTATTAATTTTCAAATTAAATAGATTTATTAAAATTACCAAGTTTTGGAATAACAGATTTGTTAGAACGACTTCTAGTGCCTTCAATAAAAAATTGTAAAGGTTTTTTTTCATAAACTATTAAATATTTGATATAAGAAAATAATGTTAAATGATAAATATCATCTTGAACTTGTTTGTTTCGTCTTAAAAAAAAGGCTCCACATTGCTTTAGAAGATTTCCCATTATTTTCATATTTTTAAAATCTTAAATAAAATAAAGTGTAAAAGGTTACATTATAACTACAACAATTATTAAAAGCTAAAAAAAAAAAAAAATAAAATTTGGACAAATAATTTTTGAAACAGATAATAGAATGTTAAATAATTTTTAAGTGACAGTGTAAGGAATTAGTTCAATTCAACCAATGTATGCATATTATTTTTATGGTGAGATAAAAAAAAATTAGCTTTAACTTCTAACCTCCAGCAGAAGTACTGGCATTGCCACTGTCAATTTTCTAATAGAAAGTAACTATTTATTATAAAAACAAAAGTAAACATGCATAATTTATATGACTCTAATAAACATATAAGTTAACAATAGAATATTTTTATAAAGAAAAAAAACTACAATACTCATTTATATATATATACGATGATTCTTTTAACGCTACCATTCAATTATCTTATAATAATAATGTTGTTTTACTTTTGTTTGTTACATTTAATTTTACTTGCTATAAAATATTTTTTGTGTTCATCCTTTATGCCTTATAGGGGTGTCAACTTAATTTTTTTAACAGCAACATACATCTTTAACTAGATTATAAAATAGTAAATGTTATAATTATAAAAATGTTTGATTGATATAAACTTTTTGACGAATATTTCAAAGTTATTAAACATTTTTAAGTGTTAACGGGAGTCAAAGCGCGGGTGTTTGGATTTTTATGTCTAGACATTTCTTAGTCTCATTCTTTCCGCCTAAGTATAAAAATATTAATAACTTCTAAGATACTGATATAAAAGTTGTCATTTTCTTAATCATATTATTTACTAATATATTAGTATATACAACTACTATATACATAAGGTAGTGGGACGGCGTGGCCGAGTCGATAACGAGGCAGTTCTTGACGAGCACTGTCTTGGGTTCGAAACTCAGTCACTAGCGGCTTCATTTTCCCAACAATAGATCAGTTCGGTAATTGGAGTCCCATCCCACTCTTCGGGGACGGGCTAACAACCCGTCCCAGAGAATAAATGGCTAAGAAAACCTCCTCCTAGGGGGAGGTCGCTATGGCCCTTAATAAAAAATAATAATTTTAATACTAATAAAAAAAAAATAATAATAATAATATATATAAAGGTAGTTAAATGTATGTTATCATAAAAAAAAAAATAAAGTTGACACCTTTATAAGACATAAGATATGAACATAAAAAATACTTTATAACAGATAAATAGAGATATATGTAACTAGCAAAAAGAAATTCATAAAAAAATGATAATTTTATGAAAAATTGAGCGGCTAGTTTTAAAATAATCACCTTGTATATCACTAGTAAAAGCAAAAAAAAAAAAAAAAAACTCACAAAAATTATAATTATAATTTAACTACTATACTTTATTAAATATTATAAATAATTTTTACATGAAAAATTATTATTTTAAAAGAAATCTAGTGATTAACGAAAAAATCATTTGAAATTGCTAAGTTATTGTTTCAATCTATAAATTAATATTTTTACTTATTTATCAATTTTTTTATTTAGAATAAAAAGTGGATAGATTGTACTTGAAGTTTTCATTATGAAGTTCATTCTTTCTGACAAAAAGTCTTCAAGAATTAATGTAAAATATAAAGAGAATAAATTATATCTCTAATCAATAAAAATAATCAACAAGCTTTATAAAATATATAACTTATTCAAAAAATAGGTTTAAGAAAAATCTTTAATCACGCAGCTTGAAAAATAAAAATCTAAAATAATGCAAACCATATTGCAAATATATAACTAATTTGTGTTTACAAATTAAAGAATTTAAATACCCATGGCAGCTGCAACATATGGTACCTCAATATCATAATGAAAACAAATAAAAGCCATTAAAATGAAATCTAAGTAACTCCTATGATTTGGGACAAAAATTACAGAACTTTTGTCAAAATTCAATTTCATCTAAGCCATTAAAAAAATGTATTAATAAACCATCTCAAAAAATTAAAATTCTTTCAATCAATACATCAACGATTTATTTAATTTTATATCTTTTGAATAAAAATATTTAATTAGTATTAAAAATAAAGAATAAAAAAACACCTGAGCCTTAAATATCATCATGTATATTTTCATGATAGTTGCACCACTGATCACCACTTATACAAGGTGATAGATTTTGGGTAAGACTCATTTCCTCAGAAATGTTAGAAAATGTTTCATTTTGTAAAGAGAAAAATTATGTGATTCAAAAAACCCTATAATATTATATAGTCAAATATCTTTTTCATATCGTCAAAGATAAAAAACCTTAACTTCAATTGCAATATATGGAACCCTCTATATTGAACTTAATACTATGATGGAAAAAAAACATTTTTCTTTTTATTCGATCAATCAATTGATCATCTGTTACAGCATGTTAAAGTTTAGTAATTTGCTAATGATATTTCATTGTTAAGAATTATATAAATCTTCAATTTCAGTATTATCACATAAACTAGTTTTTATTGAATAACAAACATTAACATTAACAAACATACAAAAATCTTTGATAATTTATATTTATTAATAATTAATGCTAGTTTAAGATCGTAATAAATAGTTAGTCACCAAAGTAGAAAATTTGTATTGATAACTATCATGGAAAATGACAAATTGGAAAATATTATTACTACCACTAGTATAAAAATAAATAAATTATAATCTTTAATTTAAATTCAAATTTTCAAAAAATTATAAAATGGTTGATCAAATAAAAAAAATTATAAGAAAAAATTTCTTTGTAATTTTTTTCTCTATTATAATATAAAGGTAAAAAATAGGGGTCTACAAATAAAATTAAAGTAAACGTTTTACATAACACACTTTAAACCAAACAATTTTGCTCTTTACAAAAATTAAATATTTTCAATAGTTTCTGAAAAAATAAGTTTTATTCAAAATAAATCACTCTCTGTACATACTTTCAGACTTTATCAATGTAAAAAACAAACTATTTTCGAAATTAAAATATGATAAATGCAGAGACTGAAACTGTTTGGTTTGTTTGTTTTCGGATTTGAAAAAAGATATCAGTCCTCTAATATGATAAAAATTTAATATATTATTTTATAACATGAATATTTTTTACGTTTTAATTTTAATTTTTACCTTATTTATTTGTAGCTCATTTATATAAAGTCCTTGAAGTTTGGATTTTATAATTTTTATTAAAATAAATCCTAATATTCGTATAGTTTGATAATTTTTGATACTTTGAATATCATCCAACAATTTTAGTGCTTTAATTAAGGTATCTTCAACATCTGTTATATTTTCAGGACACTAAATTTATGTATACATTTATATTTAGTTAAGTATGGCATATAATAATTCAAAAACCCAGCACAGTGGAGTCATGGCATAGTTGGATCCAGTATAGATAACATCTGACAGTGATTAAAATCACTATCATAAAAAACACTTCGATGCGAATCTGTAGATAGTGTTTAATTTAAAAAAATTAATGGATTATTCCAATAGCTACATGATCTCCTATTTCATTATTTATATTCTGTTAACAAGTTTTATGATTTAGAAGAGTAATATATGAATAAATAAATATATATATATAGATTAATAATATATAAATATAAATAGTACTTATCTCAAAAAAATTGTATTGATCCATACATTTTTCAAAAAGTTATGGAAATATAAAGTTAAAAATTTATAATATAAAATCGAGAATTTTAACACTGAAATAGCATACGGTAGCCATTTTCTCCGAGAAGACAAAATAAAGTCCGAAATTTTTTTTCCTTAATAAAGTATATTACATAAGCTATAATTTAAGATATGTATAAAACTGTCAGTATTTCCGGAACACTTTAACAGGTTAAGTTGAAAAAGTTAATGTTTTGTAAAAAAATTGTCATTTTGAATCTCCCTCTGTGAGCAGATAAAGGGTCAAATTTATAAAAAAAATATACAAAATGATAGCTAAAAAAATCATTAGCAAAATTAACGATTTTTAAATTTGTAATTTTTTTGGAGATTTCCCCCTATTACAGGAAACGAAGGAAATTTTTTCAATTTTTGATGGTAATATCTTTGACTAGATACAATTTGTGATCTTTTGACGTATCATTAAAAGAAATCGGTTCGGTGAGAGCTAAGAAAGAATGGTAACAGACACAAAAAAAAATTAATAAATAAATAAAAAAAAAACACATCAGTAAAATTAATACCTTTTCACCTTCGCATCAAAGCTAAAAATTGATAGTGAAATTTTAAACATAATAAAGAAAATAATATAAGTTAATACTTATGTAAATGATGAGTTGACCCTATGTTGAATATGTTTATTTAAACTAGATTTATATTGGTAAGAAATATACAATATCATTATATGATTAAAGTTGAATGAAAAAGTTTAAAAGTAATATCCAAAATTATAAAAATATTACTAACCTTCATCAGAAAATCTTTAATTTGTTTTTTTAATATTTCTTGTTTATTCAGTGTAGACATGCTTTCAAGACAATTTTTTTCATTTTTTAATGAATTTATTGGCTTTAAAGACCAACTTATATCACATACATTTTTTAATTCAATTAATAAATTAACAAATGAATCAACATTAACAGACATTGTAACCTGTAAAATGTTTAAATTAAAATATTTAATATAATTTTTTGCCGATCAATTAGTGGCATATTTAGAAATGGTCCAAGCACCCATGGATATAAAATTGTGNTTTTTTGCCGATCAATTAGTGGCATATTTAGAAATGGTCTAAGCACCCATGGATATAAAATTGTAGTAGTAGGTAGCAGTAGAAAGGTGAATATCTCCACTACACTATGTTTTAAAAGCTATCAGCTATCTGGACCTCCTCATTTAAAATATCTAAATATGCCACTATCAGTAATATAAATTTATTAAAATAAATCCTAACACTTGTACATGCAATAGCTTTTGTTTAAAAATCATTCAACAATTGTAATAAAATGGTACCATATTTTAATTAGGGAAAAATCTATATCTTTGAACTTTATTAACATAAATCACACTTTATCAATTTTTCAGGAAGACAAAGAAACACAAAAATATAACTTCTTTGAACCTCTACAGAGATTGAATTTTTTTTCAATTGTTCATATTTTGTCTTTACTATGTTGAGTAATGTTTATTTGGTTTAACCATTAGGACTTGAGCTTTTATAATTCTGATAAAATAGATAGAGTCACCATAACAAAGTATGTTGTTTTAGATTAATGGAAAAATTAATTTCACCCACATAGTGTAATAATTTCAAACTTATATTAATCTAGTTTTGTAGTATAGAAATGTTCAAAGTTTTAGCTTTTATGCTGTATTATAAAAATAATCTTAGAAAGTAACTATGAAATACTCTGCTCCTATTACAATTATTTAGATAAAAATCAATACTTTCAATGAGTTCTCATAGTATATGGCATTCATTAAATAAATTGTGAGTATGATAAATGCTTAGATTGCAAAAATTTAACAAACGCTACATTTTGGATTAAGCCCTGACAATCCTAATATCTACTATGATCATAAAAATATAATGAAAAAGTATTAGCTTTACAATTAAGTTAACTTATTATAGACTGTATCATATAGAATTTTACTTGTATCTAAAACTATTCATTGAATACATTAAATAAATTCAACTGTATTAAATAAGTTATAAGTTTTGAATCTATTTACTTTCTCAATTCTTAGAAATTTTTAATGAAACCATCGGCTATGTATCCAGAAGTGCAACAATTTGAAAATTCATTACAAACAGAATTATTTATTTCTTTTAATTTACATAGAAATTTACAAGAAATAGTAATTAGGTAAGAAATATCTGTTTAAAATTTATTTATTCGATAGTAACAAATTGTTATTATTGGACAAAAATTATTTAATATTACCTAAAATTTTTTTTAGTGATACTATAAACTCTTATCACAATAATTGCACCTCAAAATTTGAATTCATCCAGAAAATTATAGGGGCTTATTACATAAATCAACATTTTTAATTCTATTACTTTAAAACACAATTAATACAAATTAAATAAATCTATTAATTTTTTAAACAAAACTAACTTAATAGTAAAATCGACTTTTTCTAATCTACATTTGAAAATATAAAAGTTAATTGTTCGTCACAATATACATAACTTTTCATGTTATTTTGTAAGTTTTGTAATATTTGCAATAGAGAGTTTATAGTTAATACAATTGCCAGTTAGGTATCAAATCATTATTTAAAAAAACCTATTAATCACAGAGTAGTTATTGCTTTTTAATGAATTAATTGATTCAAGATCATTGACGTTAAACTAATAAAAAACACTTATCAGTTTTAAATGATTTTATCACAAAACAGATGTGATCGCAGAATCGTTTTGAGCGTAAGTAAAAAATTATCAATACTGAACAACCGTAGATAATAAAGAATGGATAGCTAACGGTACCTTATTAGAGATACCAACATCTGCGCTGTTTGCTGTTAGTTTCTGGATGGGTGACCGTACGGGAACTTTAGCAATGACACACACCTTGTCCCTATACTTGCTCCTCATCTATAATGAGGTTATGTCAGGTTGACAATCAATATTACAAAAAATTTTGTAATATGTTGCTATAAATCATAAATTTAAAAAAGAAATGATTTTTAGTTTCACCTGAATTTAACGATGGNAAAAAAAAAATGATTTTTAGTTTCACCTGAAGTTAACGATGGATTTTTACAATTATAATTATATTTTTGATAATACGCTCAATTGAGTAAATATTTTTAACTACTTTGTTTTGATTGGTTCATTTAGTTAAAGTAAATTATTAAAATTAATTAAGTTCTGAATATTTCAATTGCTTGAAAAATATTTCAAATGATTACTATTCTTTCTATTTCAGTTATCTATTACGATAAAAATGCAAAAAAAATCGAATTTTTTTGATAAATGTACTGTAAATAGTAATTATAAAATTTCCTGATTGCATATCAATCATAAAATTTTCATTTTTTTCAATTTAATAATGTCAATTTCAAACTTGCAAGTTGAACTATAAGTTATAGTAACAAATTCATTTTTTAGCTTCGATGCGAAGCTGAGAAGGTATTTTTCATTAAAACTTTCACTTTAAAAGACAATAAAATGTAGGTTCAAAATGATTACCTTTAACATATTAAAAATCAAAATCGTTAGATTTTGGTAGATTTATAAAGTTCCTAAAGCGACTTTAAATTTAAGAAAATTTTTATATTTTGTACCTTTATATTAGATTTCATATTTCTACCTATACTGGAAGTATCTTATAACTTTGATGATGAATGATTGAACACTATTGTTGGTATAAGTGTTAAACATTTTTAGCATTATTATAGAATCTATAGAATAATATAGAAAAAAACGCCAAAAAAATTTGTATAGAATAATTATTTTATATAAATTTCACAAAAAAAACTAATTAAGATACTAATTTATAGACAAAGTCTTTGAGTAAAACTTAGGATTATATTCCGTTTTCTTTATTAAAAAGATAACATTTTATCGCCTTTGAATTTTTAAGAATCTGAAGCATCAATCTTCTCAGTTATTACAAACAATAATTGAAGCAATGACATAAGAAAGATACTAAAAATAACTAAATTAATAACTTTTATCTAAACCACTTTAGACTTACAACGAAGTTTTTTTATTTTTAGCATATTTTTTTTACGTTTAATTTAGTTTTTTTACCAGATTATTAGGATATTACTATACTATTTTCAAAAAAAAAAAATTTTAATTAAGCACCTTTCTTATTTCCATCGAATCAATTATTCTTAAGAAATAAATAACATTATTTGATGATTACTTTATTTTTTTTTATAAAATATTCTAAGTTCACTGAACGTTTATATTATCTAAACTAAATGGTTCAACTAAGTCAGAAACAGCTAACCACTCCTGCAAATAAGCTCTAATGAGGGTGCGAACTCGATTAAGTTGTGGAGGATCTGATGGAGATGGTGGATACATATCAGCACAGTGAGCAGTTCCTAAAAAATAAACAAAATATAAAACAATTTTCTTTAAAATAAAGGTATAAATGGGCCTACCGTTAATGTAAATAGCCACAGTATTGATAATTTTAGTATGCGTCATGCCTAATGCATGCCATGGATCCACTGTTCCTTGTACATAAATAACTCTGCTTTCTTTTATATCAAGTTGTCCATACATCATATTGCTTCTATTGATTCCTCTTGTTAATAAATCAATATCATAACTATAAATAATTATACTTATAAATTTTAAAATCGACCATGTGATCGTAGTTAAAAGAGTAATTATTATGGTTAAATATAGTTTCATGATGAAATTTAACTATACAATAAATAATTCCTCTTTCCCTTTAATATATTACTTATTCTATAACCAATATGCATCAACAGAGAAGCTAACATGATTTACTCGTTAATACCTCCCCCTAATCCTATATCACATAGTACACTTAAATTTCATAATACAACAACAAATAGCAACTTTAAAAACATTAAAAATAATGATGTATGTATCACAAATTGATTTTATAATAGAACANTTAAAATGCTATAACTTTTTGAAAAATGTATGGATCAATACAATTCTTTTATAAGAAATAAAATTTATACAGGGTGATTTTTTTATCATAACCCACTCAATTACTTGCAGAATAATAATAATTTAAACATTTTTTTTTATTATTATTATCTTTAATTACACATTATTCTTGAATTTTTAACTATGTAATACTTTTTAAGTTCATCCCTTATGCCTTGGAGGGGGGTCAACTTTGTTTTTTTAAATGGTAACACATATTTTTAATTTAATAAAATGTTTGAGTTTTTAATTTAATAGTAAATGGCATTTGAATTTTTAATATAACTTAATTCGTTTATTAGATATAATCATTTAAAGTTTCAAATTTTTGAATTAATATA